AGGGAGCGTGGAGCGGAGATCTTTCAATGTCTTGCTTTTCTTTAAAGTTTTATAAATTCCAAAAACTGTCACTTCTCATGACGCACGGCTTTTTTTCTGTTTTCCTGCAGAACGAGAAAAAGTCATTAAAGTTACAGAAATAGCTGCATGTGCAGCTTATCCTTTGGTGTTGGAGGTAAAAACCTCCTGACATGTAAAATGTCCTGCAGAGCTGCAAAAAAGATTTATTTTTTTAAACAGCAAGCCCATCAGCTTGGATATGGTCGCATTTCAAAAACACACTTTTAATGCACTTTTTGAGTTTGTTTCCTTAAAAAACACAAAACTTATGACTCAGTAATACAAATTCGTTTTTTTACAATATTGTGACTTTTACTCCTCTTTAACACCACGTATATAATTATTTCTTTTTGAAAACTATAACAAATGAGTTTAAAATCAGTAAAAATGTGTTTCACAATTTATTTTTGTGAGGTAAAGATCCACAAGTTGTTTTTGTTGGTTTGAATCATGTTTGAATTTATTTTTGACCCAAATAACAGTTTAAAACTTTAATCATGTCAAATGTAATGTAATGATTTTACTCATTTTACTCATTTTGAAGCATATTCTTCTATTTTTATTCGATTTTTAATTATGATCAAGAAGATTCATAGCATTCTAATTCTGATCACTTTTCGCTTTAATTTGTTCATACAAACCCCAAAAATGTGCACTGGAGTTATTGAACTTTTTACGTCCAACCAGTGTTTCTCAAACTTTTTATTTTATTTTATTTTACTGAGTTGCAGCTACAAAAATAAATAAATAAAATTACCACAGGCTGATACTTTTCTATATCTGGCACTTTTCGTGATTTTATTAATTTTCTTGTCCTTTACCAAATAAAAATGTCTCCTTTTTTCTAAAAAGTAACAATAATTGATCGTCAAACGCTTATTTTCTTCACATTAGTGCAGATTTCAAGAGTTGCTGATGGGAACTCAGCTGCATTCAATTAGACTCCCTCTAATTTAGCCGCGGCCTTAATTGCGCGCTCAGGGTGGGTTGTTGTTTAGCGCTAAGCTCCATTTTGAGGGGAAAAAAAAAGAAAGAATGAAAAACAAGCCTCTCCTAAAGAACAATCCCAATTCAAACGAGACTTATCTACGCCACACCGATCAGGAGGATTAAGAGTTATTAAACCCCAGAAAAAGGGCCTGGAAGATTCTGGAGAACTAAAAAGTGCGCTGCGTGGCAACACCTGGGGATTTCTCTGCAAAACTGTTAAAGTTATAAAGACATCATCTATTTAATAAAAGAAACGATGGGTTGTTTTATTTGCATCATGAGTCTAAATCAAATTCCAGATCTTAACTTTTACATCCAGACATGAATCTCCTCATTTTATCTGGAGTGTTTGACCCTTGTTTGGTTGCAATTAGTTCCAGTAGTTTATTCTATTGCCTTTGCTCTTGGCCGGCCTGACCCGCTAAAAAAAAAAAAAACAAGGGAAGGGAAGGGCGCAAAGAAAAAGGAAGAAAAAGAAAAAAAATCATAGCGGATCATCAAATAGAAGAGAGGCATGCTTTCAGGTTTGTGAAAGGCGCAGGAAGCAGGAGGATTTGCTGCGACCCCTGCAACGGTGACAGACCTGATATGTAGAGAGCCCCATTCATGTGGAGGCAGAGGATGGTGACGGGTGGGGTGGTGAGGAAGGGGGGGGTGGGGGGAGTAGTGGGTGCATCTGCAGAGGTCCCACCGCCCTCTGATCTGTGAGCTGGCACACATCACGGCGTCCATTCACAAATCCTTCTCCTGCGCGTCACCTTTTGTAGTACTCCATAGTACTCCGTGCATGGTGACGTATGAGACAATCCTACGAAGAGGAATGGGGGGGGGGGGGGGGGGGAACTCAAGGACCGGGCACATGCGCACAACGCACCAGGAGTGCTGCGTGTGAGAGCGCGTGCGTGAGGGAGAAGGAGGGGAGCTATAGCAACATGTAAATATAGAGACATTAAAAATAGGATGTTTTTGTGATTTTAAACAAAATTTAAAAAAATCACCCTTTATAACTAAAATATTCTGAAATAAAATAATATTGAGAAGTTTTCTTAACTCTAAACTATAAATATTAACATAAAATCTACACAGATCTTTTAAAAGCAGATCAGATTTTGTTATTTGACCTCAAACGTCCTTGTGGGCTTCCAGAGAATCAAACACACCTTGTTTAAAAAAGAAAAAGAAAAATAGTAACGAGCATCCCAAGTTTGCCTTCTGGAGCCAAGTAACAGCCAATAAGAGGATGTCGTGCTTGCGTTTGCTTCAATCCTCAGACTACTGCAGGTTTCTGAATATGCTGCAACAGCTGCATGGCTCTCTCTCTCTCTCTCTCTCTCTCTCTCTCTCTCTCTCTCTCTCTCTCTCTCTCTCTCTCTCTCTCTCTCTCACACACACACACACACACACACACACACACACACACACACACACACACACACACGTCTCTAAAGTCATCACGGCAACTGCACTTTGACCCATATTGCACATTTGACCACACCTATATGACAGAAACTAGGATAAAAAGAAAAGACAAGCTATGATTATTTATAAAATTATAGTTTTCCTAATAGAAATCAGTGGAACAGTAAAACTCATTCATGTGAACCGGCTTCAGCAGAAACGAGTTATGATTAAAAACAAGCAGGTCGGACTATTAGATCATAAACCGTTTGTTAATAAAAAATAACAATGTTGTAATTTACAAATAATTTAAATGAGCCACAGAAACATTATAACCTTTACTCAGTCAGAAAAATCTCCTATAATTTTTTTTCTGCCATAATCGGTCAAATCCGAACGTCACAACACGCAGAGCCCATCGGGAAATAAAGAAATTGTAATGAAGATAAAGCATGAGGTGGTCTTTACACGCAGAGATTATGATTCGTTTTCCTTGCATGGGTGAAAAAGCCAAAACATCGGAGAAGACAATAGTAGCGGGTCTGCACGCTGCAAAAATACGCACGCTTGTTTTGTGTAAAAGCTGCGTCAGAAGGAGGATTTCTGCTGTTTCACCTCAAAGCATTTGGTCAAAAATGAGAAAATGCTCCAATCAGACACGTTTTACAAGATGCAATTAATAGAATGTATGTATATTTTAGAGGTTCTGGTTGGTGGATGGCTTTGGGTTGGTTTTTGTCTCGTTTTCGCTGCGCACAAAGGCTCTGATTAGAATTCAGACTCTGAAAACGGTGTCATTTCCTCCAGACATCCCTGTTTTTGCTGGGAGGTTAGAGGCCAAGCCCAGGCGGTAGCGGCCCGTCTGTGGCTCCATTGTCTGCTGCTTATTTAGCGCCTCAACGTTTAATCTGCGCTTCCCATCGACAAGCGAGAAACAATCGCAGCGTGAGAGTGGCCTGTCTAATTACATCTTTCACTCTCAACTTTCACCGTTTAGACTTGTGATGGGCGCATGCACGGCAGGGTCTGTGCGCGTTTCCCAGGTGCAGGCATACATTTTGTGAAATGATGTGACATTCAGCTATAATCCGGATTATTTATTGACGTTTTTCACTTTATTCTCACGTTAGTTTGCAAAGAAGAAATGAAAGTTAAGAAAATGCGGAGTAAAAAGTTTGTTTTAAAGTCTCCAAAACAAACAAGCGAAATGGTTAAGTGTCACTGATTAGATTTTTGAGTTTTGTGAACAAAAAACTCTTTCATTCAAAGAAAACGATAAATAAACGAATACATTTGTATGTTAAACGTCGCATCTTTTAAAATATTGGCTCTACTTTCAACAATTTACAGAAATTGCAAAACAAGAGACGCATCTAATATATTGGACAAAAACACCCAAAAACAAAACAATATTCTTTTCTCACTCAAGCCTCCGTCTGTTCCCCGGGTCTCCTTCCTTCTGTGCCGCTGCTGAAACTCCAGAACCGGACCGAACAGAGCCGTTCGAGCCGCGGTCCGCCTCACTGACTCCCCAGAAACTTGGGTCAGTAGTTACCCAAACTTTTGTCTTTGGCGCGGCTCTGGATGCCGAGTAGCGCGCACTAAACAGTTTGTTTGCATCACTGATTTCTTTTAAAGGGATATGGACCCAGTTCTGGTGTGGACCGCGGTGGCGCGAGATGAGCGCGAGCACAGGGAAATACTCACCCCCTGTTTTGGCTTTTGGGTAGAATGCGCTCAGCTGAAGGACTCTGGACAGTAAACATACGCGTGCTGTTGCTATGTGAGGAAGGATGCGCGCGCTGGAGTTACATTACATTTAAAAAGCCTCAAAAAGATAAATGTGTCAAGAGATACAGCGTGTGCGCACACATCCTCTTCCAGCTCGAGTAGATTCGAACCTTTTTTATTTTAAAAGCAAATCATTAATTAAAACATTTGAATTCGATTCAAATTTTAAAAGAAAATGCGTTAATTTAGACAAAACTCTGATTGTTTTTCTTAAATAGGCACCGATCGTGGTTGTTGTGCACATTTTCCAACTGCGTGAAACGGTGCCATCCAAGATCTCCAAAACAGTCAAGAATTCCAGTTTTTATTAAGATATTGAATTAAAGTGGAATGGTGCTATACTCCTTGGCATAATTAGGAATGTTTGCCCTGCAACTAGGAGACCCATGGGGTCTTTGCCGCTCACTTTGCCAACCAGTCTTGTTATACGCACAAACAGGTTTTTACGCACACTCTGGTTTTACGCACAAACTGTCCCGTATCCAAAATGTACTTAAAAGTAAATTACATAAAGTAAAATGGGTTTTAGAGGGAAATAATATATTGGGAGTAACTGGGAACATGCAGTGGATTTAAATGAGGCTTCCTCTCTGTTAAGTCCGGGACTCTTCCTCTTTTACCGAGGAGAGGATGGGCGGTTGTATACTGCGCTGGAGTGTGCGTCACGTGGCCCGGTTTCTGCAATCCGATTGGTCCGAGGCACGTGTCGGGGATGACGATGAGAGAACGTCACTCGGGGGTGCTTGCATTGAAAATAAGAACAAAACTCCGGAGTGAGAGTATTAGAGCATCAGTTAGGAGCCTCTTTATTTACCCCCTTTTAGTTTAGTTTAGGTGTAGATACGCAGTGGACGCGCAAATCGGATAGCACCAAATTGGATGGTGCGCAAATGGCAAGTGATAGCTGAGCTGTAACCCGAGTTTGAGGGGATTTATGTGAAAAGAAAAAAATACATGCTTTTCGCAAAGGACGCTACCGCAAGGCTTTGCATGGTGTTCGAGGCTCCCACTATCTGAGATTTTTTTATTTGTTTTTTACTCGTGCAGTTCTTTTTAAAATTCCTGCAAAGTTGTCCGCGATTTTTTGTTCCTGCAGCGGGAGAGCGATAAAGGGGTTAAACTAGAGTAAAGCGGCGAAAGTGAATCACTATGGAAGAAAATGAGCACGGCAAAGGAGATGAGGTGGAGCGGCGGGAGTCAGCGGACGAGTCCAACAGAGCCATACTCCCCCTCCTGCAGGCGCCGGGGAACCTGCAGATTCCTCATCGGGTCACCAATTTCTTCATCGACAACATCCTGCGGCCGGACTTCGGGAGGAAAAAGGACGCGGGGGGAAACCGCGAGGAGAGCGGCAGCTTCGCGTCGCGGGAGAACCACAACAGCCCCGCCGCCCCTCATCAGACCGAGCCGGTGGGGAGTACGGTGCCGGCGGAGGGGACCTCCACTCCGCACACGGTCGCAGGAGCAAAGAAGCCCCCCAAAACCGCAGAGGAGCCCCTAAATACCCGCGGGGAGAATGGAGACCAGTGCCTGAGCTCGGACTCGGACAGTTCCCAAGCCAGCTCAAACCCGTCCATGTCTAAGCCCATGCTGTGGCCAGCCTGGGTTTACTGCACCAGATACTCGGACAGGCCTTCTTCAGGTTGGTGGCGTGCATTTTCTACTATCCCCGCTCCTGTCGGTAACCTGAAATACCCCGTAACACTGACCCCAGATGGCTTGACCGACTTCTCACTTGCAGAGTAGAGCAGAGCGGTGCTGAACAGAAATTACAATCCTTAATATAAAAAAATAAATGAAAAGAGGTTAAACCAGGACGCGCGTTTGGAATAGAGTAAAAATATTAAAGTGCATAAATGTTTAATTTTATTTTGGTGAAAGTAGACTTGATTTATGCAAACAAATAATCGACATTTTTAATATAAGGAGCAAAACATTTAAAACTTACTCAAAAAATAATAAAAAAACGGCTCATGTGTGGAACTGTAACGTCACGTCAATTTCTCGTCACGAAAATAGTCTTTATTCTCTAATACGTAAAGTTAATTATTTCAAGCGTAAATCCAACAATAGTCATTAAAATATGTAAACAAAAACATTCCAGAGCGTGTGCAACTTTTTAAAAAGGAACATTTAAGCTCCATCTGATGCGTTTGGAGGCTAATCAGGCCGCTAGTGAGCCTACAGCTGCTGTTTTTCTGGTGCAACTCTAAAGTTTGTCATCCTGTTGCAAGTTAGAGACTGAAATTTCTTTTGCGTCTATCAAAAAAAGTGGAGTACAACTTGTTCTCATGCATTATGTAACGCCATATAGAGTGGCGTGGGCGACTACTACGAGCTGCTGAGCTGCCGTTCTCACACTGATTGAGGAGAGGTAAAGAAATAAATAATTGTGACACACGCGCGCGCTGATCCGTGGAACTCGAGCCGTCTTGTGTTGATTCATGAATGTTTTTACGCACAATTCGGAGGAGGAGACAAACTCTCCAAACGAGCCTCCTTCCAGGAGGAATATTGATGTGTGTTGCTCAGATTCTGGCACGTTGGTCAGATTAGGAGCTGTAAAATAAATCTGGACCCAAAAAATAAACTTTTAAAAGAAAAGGAAAACTTAAAAGGATGGAATTCATCCTGATTTTAAAATTAAAAACAAAAACTGAGCGGAAATTTATTTATTTAATTCTCATACACTTTCAGTTCAGTGTGTGTGTGTGTGTGTGTGTGTGTGTGTGTGTGTGTGTGTGTGTGTGTGTGTGTGTGTGTGTGTGTGTGTGTGTGTGTGTGTGTGTGTGTGTGTGTGTGTGTGTCAGAGAGGAAGGAGAGTAGCAACAGGGAGGTACTTCAGCTTCATGGTTCGTTTCTTTAGTGAAACTCGAATTTTTGGCACCGTTCGTCTCGTTTTTCTGCACGTCATGAAGAGAAAACACATTTATATCCGTTATTTTTTAAAATATCTTTAAGCTGACAACATAAATAATTAAAAAGCTACTCTTACTTTGCATTTTCAGTTCTTTGTTTGGACGTAATTTGGGAAGACTGGAATACGCTTTAAAACTGAATGACGCTTTTGCGTAAAAGTTAACTTTACGCACGTGCTTTTGGGTTGGAAAGCTTAATGCAAAATGATAAAATAAAGAATGCGAAGACGGAGTAGTTTACTAATAAAAAACTAAAGGGATATTTCTACGATTTCCCACCTCTATCACTGCTGTACACCTCTCTAGTTTCATTTTCAGTTGGTTGGTGATTGTGACACTAACAAGACACTGCACGTGTGTCCTGTGACCAACAGGGCCAAGATCCCGCAAACCAAAGAAGAAGTCGACCAGCAAAGAGGACAAGCGACCACGCACGGCCTTCACAGCAGAGCAGCTGCAAAGACTCAAATCAGAGTTTCAGACAAATCGGTATCTGACGGAGCAGAGGCGACAGAACCTGGCGCAGGAGCTGGGCCTGAACGAATCCCAGATCAAGATCTGGTTTCAGAACAAAAGAGCAAAAATCAAGAAGGCCAGCGGCACTAAAAACAGTCTGGCTTTGCACCTGATGGCGCAGGGACTGTACAATCACGCCACCGTCACGTCGAAAGACGAAAAATCAGACAGCGATTGATTTCCAGAAGAAAAAAACAGCCTCCTGACGAAAAAGAACCTATAGTAATCCTATGATAGATTTTCTTTAATAAAGATTAAAAACTCTACTTACAGGAATATTTAATATTTCCACAGCAGATACTTTAATTACCCGGATGTACAATGGCTCCACAACACAACAAAGGTCACCCAGAATTCCTACACCCCATTCCATAGGCTCCTATGGGAATATTATAGTGGTTTTTTTTTCGTTTTATGGGAGGTTTAATCAAGCCTTCAATGCAATAATATGACCGAACAAAGGGCCAGCGTATACCAGCATAAATTGTTTAAAAAATAGAGATATTTCTGCAATATCACGTCTATAAAAGAAGATGAGGTATAGAGTTTTCCTTGTTTTTCTTGTCTCCGCCCCTTTCCAGGAGCTTCAGATCTCTCCGTTTTTATACACAGCTATACATGATTGTCATCGTTTTGCATTTTAACTAACTGGCACCTTCGATTTGTCAGTCAAGTGGAAATAAAAAATAAAATTAAATTAAAAAATAAAAACTGAAGTCCAAAGAATAGTATTTTTCTGCTGCATCCAGGCTACTGTGAATCTAACTAAATGTCGCCATGCTGCTGGTTTTCTTGGTGTAAACTGGTCAAAATGACGTTTTCTGAGCTAATTGGGCATTTGTTTCAGTTTTTTTCTAGCTAACATTTAACTAAAACTTCTATTCTTTAAACAAACGTATGCCAATGCATCAGTGCAGCTATTGTTGTTTTAAGTAGCAATATGATTTGTTTTTGTTGGTGTTTGAAGCTAACTGAAGGCTATGATGCTGCCTTTTGGGTCACAGAAACAACTCTGTAGCATAAAAGACAATGATGACCACTCTCTAGACCACACGTGCAGGTTTTTGGATGTTCTTGGTAAATCTTTCTCTATATACATTTTTATTACATATTCATATATCATTGAAAAGAAGGGAAATCCATCAGTGACTGTATTACAAATGTTGGAAATCTCTTATTGGTGTTGAAAGGACTTCATATGTGTATTTATATAGATTATATTGAGATAAAAAATCTATCCAATGACCGGTGTTGCTTTAGAGTAGACTTCTGAGGTGTTTACACTGCTTGTTTATCTTGCAATAACTTCATTTTTTTAGTTTTTTTGTTTTTGTTTCCTTTTATTATTATTTTTTGTGAATGACATATTGTCATGGGGCCTTTTGTGCATGAAAGCTGCAATTTGTTGTACTTGGGGCAAATAACTGTGTTTATAAACCTTACAGAGAAAAAAGTATGAGTTTTCTTTGGTTTTCAGACTGCATCCATACCAAATTGTGGACTTTTTTGCCTTTCTGAGTGTTTTTCTTTCTTTTCTTTTTCTTTTTTTTTGTGTATCTGCAAAAATAAATGTGTGTGAATTAAAAAGTAAAAAAAGAGAAATCCACCAAACAGAACAAAACACACCTTGCCTTAAAAGTTCAAGTGGGAACTTTTTGTGAAACAGAACTGTGCCGAATCAGAGAAGCAGTATTACTTCAAATGCAGACTACTCAAGTTTATTGCCTTTTATGAAAAACTGCTGGTACGACATTATGAATTTACTCATCAGCGTATATCTATCTATATATGAACATGTCTAAATGAAATTACAACACAGAGTTGTAGAAAACAATGCTATTTTTATTTTAAGTTGGAAGTATTCTTTGGTATAATGTACATAATTTGTATCATGTATTAATTGTGTAATTAACTGCCTCTTGAAAACTGCAAAAGAAGAATAAATAAACCTTGAAGATTATACAAAAATGCTTTCTGTGCTCCTTGAAACACAAACAAGGTGCAACAGATCAGAAAGTCTTTGTTTTTAGCCGCAAACATCAAGAAACACATCAAAACACATCCAGTATTCACATATTTTATCAACAGCATCGGTAATATGCAGTGCACAACAATCAATTCCATCATAAGCATCCAAACATTCTGCAAGTGAAAGCCTTGAACAATTCCCAGGCATGTTTCCTCAACAATGCCTTATCTGCATTTCCATGCTTGCACCGCTAGTCTTGGAGCGCCATGTCTAACGGCCAGTGACTAGGCATTACACCAGATAGGGCTGCTGCCAGCACTGTCTTCGAGACGGTCAGTCTTCTTCGCCGCCTCTGAAAAGAGCTTCTATCACAAGGCAGAAATGGGAGCAGAAAGAGGGAGAGAGAGGGGAAGGGGAGGGGAAGAGAGTGAGAGAGGGAGAGAGAGGGAGCAATGAAGGTCAAAGCCCGCCATGGCTGCAGGTGGCTGGTTCCCCCTCCCTCCCCTCTCCTCCGCCCCGCAGTAACCCATTCTCCACACAGCTTTCTCAATCTCTAAACTCTCTCTCTCTCTCTCTCTCTCTCTCTCTCTCTCTCTCTCTCTCTCTCTCTCTCTCTCTCTCTCTCTCACACACACACACACACACACACACACACACACACACACACGCACACACAAATATTTTATTTCATTCTCATGTTCCATGCACACACTCCTGTTGTTTCGATCCCTCATTCAGTGCATCAAAAGGACTCGTTGCTAGAATATTCACAGGGAGAAGAAGAGGAGCAGCCTGGAGTTCAGATGGGGACACCAATGCTAAAGCTAAAGCTAACGCTACATGAGCATAGCACCCCCTTCCCAAAAGAAAAAAATGAAAACAAAAAACTCAGCAACCAGATGCTGGGGACCTACATCTTTTTAAAACAGCAAACTATCATGAAGATTTATTGGTAAACATAAAACAAATGCTAAAAAAGTTTAAAATCTCACGTTTTTAATAGATATTTTTTTATGGTGGGGATTAAAAAAGAGAGAGAAGAAGATTCAGGAAAGCATCGATGTCTATCTGTGAACACAAAAGGGCCCCATCCTGCTCTGACCTCTTCCCCCCCCCCCCCCCCCCCCCCCCCCCCCCCCCCCCACTGTGTCATTTACCCACAGTTTCTAAAATGTTTCCTACGGCTGGAGTGGAATCTGCTCAGAGGTGCCTGGGCTTTGTGGCGGAAACATAATTAAAGTGGTGAAAGATGTAAAAGGTGAAGAATAGGGATGACATCAGGCCAATTTCACACTTGGCACTCGAATGGCTAGGTCCAAGCCAGGACTCTTGCCTCGCAACACAGATCAAAGCCCGACGTCAACGCACCAGCGCTGGGAGAGAAAAAATACGGAGGCAAAAGGATACCTAACTATGCTAATCCCCAGGACGAATATATTTTAATCTTGTTAGAATACAAGTTAATGCCGTGGCTCAGTGGTTGAACTTTTCTGGCAAGAATAAGAGGTGCTTTTACCTTTTCTACAGGTTTGATAACAACCAGAGTCTGAACAAACTTTCTTTTGGGCCAAACTCAAGTGTGCTATCGAGGGAGATGGGGAGCCACCGAAAGACGGTGAGCAACAGTTTTCAGTAGCAACAATGGCTGGACGAAGAAGAAAAAGGGCGGTGGTGTCAGTGACCTCATCTGAATCCCCACTAGGGTATCGAACATGCAAAGGAAATGAGTATTTTGTGGAGCGGTCAGTTTGTCCCCTCTCACATTGAGCCCTCTTTTCTCAAAAGTACCTTGGTAACCCTTGATCTCTCATGTATGGAAGTCAGGGCACTGGGGCCTGCAGAAGTTGAGTAGGCAGACAATAGCAAGTGGGTGCATTCTGGTAAAGTCACACCCAGGCAACTCTCATTTCACACACTGTGTTTGAGTGACCCTTGAAAAAAGGATGCAGGACTTTTTAAGCACTAATTCTTTTCATTCACTTGGAAAAAAAAGAAGAGAAAAAGCATCAGTGCATTTTTTTTTTGAGTTGCAACCATGTTTTTATTATAGTAGAAATATTCCCTTTTTGGTGTTTTGAGTGCCTGCTGCAGAGAAAATTGCCTCCAAGATCCATTTTGTTTCAAACACATTTAAGATTCGTCAGAATATTTCTTTTGTTTTGCAAACATCTGGTGAATGTTTTAAACAAAATAGCTGAAAACTGATTTAAAAAAACAACAAAACATTTTCAATAATAGCAACATTAATTGCCAAGAAAGTTAACAACTACTTTTGACATGGCAACCTGACTGAAATAGTTATTTCTTAGATTTACATTTAGTGTATAAAATATTTATACAGTTGTAATAATAATGTATGACTAATACGTCCAATTTTGGAAAAACACCTTTTTGATCCAAAGGCTTAACGATATAAAGATAGGACAATATAATCTAAAACTTTATTTTGTTCATGATTTATTTGTTAATCAACACAATAACGGTAACAAATGAAATAATTAAAGGAGCAATATGTAAGAATTTAACAAAGAACTAATCCCTAACCGGTCTAATGTCTCAATCATGATAGATGGAAGGTTACAGTGAAACAGATTTCATTCTCAGCCGGCTGGGGGGTTGTCAGTTTTTCTCATTTTAAAAAACTAAAGAGGGACGTATCACTGTTTATAATCTGCAATCCCGCGGGGTTGCAGAGTCTGTGCAGATCTAACGTAGTAGTGCCAACATTTGTAATTTGACACCAGTCAGCAAAACGTTCCAGAGTTGTTTAAAGAATTGAAGCCAGTAAACAGGAGCAACCCAGAAGTTATTTCTCGTACCCCTAAGAAGCCACTCTAATATCGGGTGAAGCAGGCTAGAGGCTTATGTTGAGCTAACAATGCTAATGGTCAATATAAAGCAAACAGCTCAAAAAAACTCTAGGAACTTTTTCAATTACCAACACTCAATGTTACAGTGAAAGGTATGTGTAAAGTGAATCATGAGTAAATTGGCCGTTTTGCTTCCTTTAATAAGTTGTTCAGAAAAATACCAGCAAGACAGCAAACTCCTCTAATGCCAGAGGCATGCTGCCATAATAAGTGAGTGCCCCCTGCCGTCAAACACCCAAAAGTGCTACCGCCAGATATGCAAATGTACTTATCTACTTACTGTGTATTACTTGCCTTTACTTGTCATCCACAATCTTCTGGCGCTGAGCTATGACTGGCAAAACCCAGGAAACTCATGAAACAGCAGTGAGACAGTTACTTTTATTTTAGAAAAATGGACTGCAGAACCAAGATTTAACCACATGATGTCATGCTTACTTCATTCTTACATATTGCACCTTTAAATGAATATGTTAAAACTTTTTATTGAACCTAAGGTTTTACGATTCCAACAGACAATGCTTGAATATTCTCCTCACTTAAACCAGAACCACTTTAGATATTAGCCCATATTCTTAATATTCAGCATAAATATGAAAACAGAATGATTTTATTATGTGGACCTAGAAAATGTTTTTCCATCAAATCAACGTTTTACCTAAAAATGTATATTTTCCAACACCCTGGAATTGATGCAGAGAAACCACCAAATATCAGCTCATATGTCACACTAGTATCTAAAAACATCACAAAGCAAAGTATTTATATCTCACGTGGGACAGAAATTGACAAAAATGGATCAAATATATAACTTTTAGGGATATGAGCTACATTATCATCTCATGAAGTCAGGGTATCTGAGTAGGATTGCAACTTTCTTCTAACATAAAGTAAAATAAAGATGTACAATGTACAGTCATGCCAGTTCTGGCCTTTCTTCCTGAGTTTCCGTAGCCTGCTGACACACATTCAGACAGGGTCAAGGATACATCTGACTCACCTCAGACCTCTGCTTTCCCCGGAGACTGGCCTGTCACTCACCGTGTGGTTACGGATCATAGCTGACAGAGGCACAAAGTAAGAGCTCGATGCTGCATCAACAGCACCAACATCATCATCACCAAAAATCCATCCTTAGCATGACATCTTCCTCCGAGTCCACCACCAGCTCTCTGCTCTGTGGAAAAAATGGAAGAAAACACACATTCACACCCCGGGAAACCGGTAATAAAGTGTCATTCAGGGAGAAGAGGAAGAGCTATAAAGGAAAAAAAGTAGACATTTACCTTTAAATTCTGCACAGTGCAGTCTGGATATAGGCAGTCTTAATAGAGCTGTTAGGAAGTGGAAGACAGTTCTACAAAGACAGAAAACGACAAGGTTTAAAAGCTAATTTAGGACTGGATATAAACACGTTTAGCCTTGGAGCTCCTTTACAGTGATCCCAAGCTGTGAAATAGCATCAGGTTGGTGTAGCATATAGTTTTTAATTAGCGAGATGACATAATAAGTACACACGCGGAGATGCTTTCCTATGAGCAAAGCGTTTTAATTTTCACTGAATCATGGCACGTTGTACTTTCAAGCTCTTTAAAGAAAAATGGAATGCAGAAAAACTGTAATGCATCAATTTAGGAAAGAAATGACGCTACGGCGAATGCACAAAACCCCCAAAACGACCAAATATATTTGAAAAACACAAATAACTTAATATTTTTTTATTTTTTCATGATTTAAAGCAACATTTTTGTGATTATCAGTAAGCAGCATGCAATAATTCATTAAACACAGTCACGTTTGATAAACAGAGGGACACATAAAAAACAAGATGGTTTGATTAATATGAGGAAGACAGGACAACAAAATGGATATATTCTTATCCGTGTGCTTGATCGACTGCATCCAGAATGGAAAATCTCATTGTCTGACCTTCTAATCTGCATTCTTTGAGAAAAACAAACACAAAAACACACGCATCTGAACACTAAGAAAACACCACTATAAGGTTAGAATATTTCATTAGTTTCTATAAATATATACACAAATGTGTTTGGATATGCACAAGTACTTCATAAGTACATACCAGCCTCAGAATGAATATTTACTCACTTGTTTTTCACATTTCTCTTGTTCTAACTTTCCTACAATTTTGAATTTAAGGAGAAACTTTTGAACCAAAAATGTTCAAATGCACAAAAAGACATGATTTGTTGAAGTGAGACGGGAAGCTGAATGGGCAGTAAGGTGTTCCTGTTGTTCAGCTCAGCTTCAGGATTGGGTGTGACTCTTAACTATCGTTCCAGAATGGCCGTACTGTTGAATCAGCAGCTCTGGCAAACGATAACAGAGTGTTTTTATCGTTATTCCATCATGTTTGACCATAAAGAAGAAGATTTAATGCAGGTTTGGTGTTTTTGTGCCAATGAATGACTAACGACACCAAAACCACCAAAATTCAGCCAAAGAAAAGACCAGATCTCCAATAATTTCAATACTTTATCGTTTACATTGAAGCCCGTGCTCACGCGGCTGAAATAAACCCAGAATAAAATCATGGCGTTTCTTTTTTTTTAGGGTGTCTGAGTTGGAGGGGAGCTACAGCTCAGTCAACCGTGCCTTAGCTTGCAGAGGTGGGTGTCTCCCTCTTTCTCCCTCTCACTCATTTTTGCTGCATGCTGCCATTTTAAACCGCTCCTGAGTGGCAGGCGAGAGGGTGTTGTTTTTTTTGTTGTTGTTGTTGTTTGGCGTCGGCCATGATGGTGGAATCACCCCAGACACTCCTGAGGAGCAACGTCAGGTTCTACACCGGCCTGCATCACGGTTCGGGTCGTGTGGTCTCACTCCGACACGTTGGTTAGAGAATAAACGTTCTTGTTATGCATCTCTATTAAAAAAGCAAACGTTTTATCTGCTTTTGTGCGGATTTCTCTTTTAAAAAAGAACCCTGACTCGTCTAAATGAAGATTATTTTTCATTTTTAATTGAAAACACTAATTTTACATTCAGCCCCGGCTTCACAAGCGCAGGAAGATGATAATATTTCATCAGCCGACACAGAAAATCACAATTAGTTGATGACAGAATTCTAGAAAGCCAAACTCAGAAAAGCTAATGAGTGTTTTCTTCCAGATTCAGAAGAAAAACAACAAAACAATTATTTTTTTTAATTAAGTTGCTTTAAAAGGAGATTACCAGTGAAGTTACTTACTGCGAATGGGGAATGAAGAATTCCAAACAAGAATCCAGTTGGAACACAAATAAAACCGCTCCTTTTTTCTGCTCCTCAACTGAAACACAATTATTTTAATAAAAATGAGGTAAAGTCATGCTGTGGTGTTTAACGTGGCTCACGTCCAAACTCCTATTCCTCCCCTCTAACTCGGAAAATTAACAAGTTATCCATGAATGACCAGAGTGGCTCCTAACCAACTACGTTCGAGGTCAAAGTTCACTTTATCTCCTTAGCAACACCACGGCAACAAGCAACAGCAGTGTCTAGACAGGTCATGGTACCCCCCCTTGCCCCGTTTCCTCATCAGTGCCATCCTACCTCCCCACCCCGGCTCCTTCCGGAAGGAGGTGTCAGCAGCATCCAAGTACAGGGTAAACAGGGCAGGGTCGAGGAGAGGGGTGGCCTTTGGCCCGCATGGGGTCGCATCAGCACCTCCACCCTCCACTGATCAAAGATGGGGGATCCTCCATGCCAGGACCTCGGTCAAAGGGGGTCAGGTCGGGAGATGAACCCCGCGTTTCTGTAATCTAGACGTGTCCAGACCGGATTGTCTTCTTTCATGGCCCAAAACGGACCCTTCCGGTGATTACATTAGAGAGGACAACCTTTTTTTTCCTCCTTTCTTTCTTTTTTTTTTTCTTTAACACAGGGGCACCCAGACAAAAGAGACGCTTCCGTGCTCCCCGCCATCTGGTCCCAAAATAACAGAAAAGGTCCCAGGGAAGTAAAAGGGAAAAGAAAAAAGAAAAGCCCAGCAAGCACACAGCTTTAAATGAAAGAAACGCCGTTTGAATGGATGGGACGGTAGGACAGATAAGCAAACATACAGTAAAGCCTCCACGTTTACCCAATCTGCATCTGCAAATAAAGCAGCGGGCAGAAAAATCTTCCCTTTATCCATTATTATTGAAAACAATCGAACGCTAGAGCTTCTTTATCACTGGAACCTGCATCTTCCAGGAAATTCTTCAAGGATTTGATAGAAACCAGCTTCAAATCAGTAAAATTAATAAAGTTTCTGTGCTTTTCTGGAAAAAAAACAATTCTAAAGCTAATTAATAAGTTAGAATCTAACTATGGCTGCAAGCGGGGATTTTTAACACATTGTGAACCTCAAATACAACATTCAGGGTAGAGAAATGCAACAAACTGGAACATTTCAGTCAAATTAAAAACAGATGTTGGCATTTTTCTTGTTTAAATGACAGTATACAAAAATTTTCTAATAATGTATCCAGTTAAGTTTGTAAAAACCCGCTCTAACATTATTTAGCTGTATTTTCTTGGCCTTCATTTAGAAGATTAATAATTAAAAAGAAGGCAGCACATCTTTGTTCAGGGTGTAATAATGTGGCTGGCTCACTTCAGTAACCTCCCTGAGAGCTGCTCGTGTTCAGACACTGCAGGTGAGATGGCCTGTGTTAGACTGTCACGCGCTCTCTAACCTGGGATTTCTGAGGCTCCGTTTGGCTAATGCTGATTACGTGCTCTGCTATGCATGGCCTGTTTTTAAGCTTGCAAGAAAATTTGGTAAGTAAACAGCCTCATTAGTAGAAGAGGTGATGCTGCCCTTGTTGCTGAGTAGTTTTGTTGCTGGAGAGCGTGCAGAATTAAAGGTTTCTATTCATATGGAACAAGACAAAAGCAAAACATGCAACCTATGCAATAAACTGAGTCATTTTTCTTTATGCAAAACTCTAAAAATTGCTCCCGTAGAGTAAAAAAGTGTTGAACTGTCCAGACAAACCAGTGACAAATGGTTGATTTTAGAGAAATCTATCATCTCTTTCCAACTCCTGCAGGACAGCCCAAGAGAAGAATTTCATTTTTTAAAAACTGTATGGGCAGGAGGGTGAAAGAAATCTAACTGCAGTTTCAGGGGCTAAAAGTTATTTAAGAGTGACTATATATCCCAGGCACTCCCTAGACCAGAGCTTTAAAAAGCAGCACAAATAAATATATACACAGTAGTTTGCCAGAAATTTTCATCTTTGTGTAATTTGGGCTCCTCATTGAGGATGACTTTAAGTTGCATCACTACATCCATCCATCCATTTTCTGAACCCGCATGTCCACGTAGGGCCGCCGGGGGGCTGGTGCCTATCTCCAGCGGTCAACGGGCAATCGGCGGGGGGTACACCCTGGACAGAGAGCCAGTCTATTGCAGGGCAACACAGAGACACACATGACAAACAATCACACACACACTCATACCTAAGGACAGTTTGGACAACCAGTCAACCTAACAGTCATGTTTTTGGACGGTGGGAGGAAGCCGGAGTACCCGGAGAGAACCCACGCTCGCACAGGGAGAAAATGCAAACTCCACGCAGAAAGAAGCGAACCCAGGACCTTCTTGCTGCAAGGCAACAGCTCTAACCACTGCTCCACTGTGCAGCCTTGCATCACTACATTTAAGGAAAAAACAGATGACATTTTTACAAAAAGAGGCTAAACAGCAAGAAATTGATGTTGTTTTGGTCAAGTTTATTAATTTCCACCATTTTGGTAGATTATTGTTTTGTAAAAATTAAATCTATTAGAATTGTAGCTCTAAACTCGATTTGACTGCTGCAAATCATCAAATAAATAAAAATAAAAAACTTTAAAAATCCCTTCCAAAATGTTCATACTACTAAAATCCACAAGTCGCTGTTTGTTTTTAAAAAATATGAGCAACTTTCTCCCGGTGGGATTCCTGACAGCTGTATGCTGAGAGCAGAAGTTTCCATCAGAGTATTTAAAAGATCTACTTCAACAGATGACAAGGAGCTCCTCTCATCCCTGCAGAAACACCCTGATGTGTTCATCTGTGTGGTTTCCAGAGGATGCAGCTCATGTGGGAGGAAAACCAAAGAGCGGTGAGGTCTTGGTCTGGATTCTGCTGTCGTCACTTCAACATGTCATAGAGCTAGGCGATTAATAGAATTTTAATTTCAATTTCCATTTCGGCTCCAAACGATCACAAAAGTATTGTGACTGGCAAATTCGGCAATTCCCATGGCCAAAACTGACGCCTTTCCAAATGCTTAAGTAACAAAGGTAATAATACGTCGATTATTTTAAAGGGACTATAAGGAAGTTTGACAGCCAAAACACGTATAGAAATAATACATTTCTTCTTCATACATTCTCCTGCAATGCCCTGGTCCTGTAGAATGAGCCCTGGCATTTTTATTGTGATTGCCTGTTTTTCTGTAAAATCACAGAAAAAGAGAGCTGCTCGGGTCGAGCAGGCTGCTTCATGCGCGTTCACGCTCAGGCATCGCCCGTAGCATTTGCTATCCGTAGCTTTAGCAGCAGAGAGAGACGTAGTGCCAACTCAGCTACTGTGTCGCTGTTCCTAACGTCTAGTGATGAACCTAGCTACATTTCTGAGGACCCTTAGCTACTTTCTTCTAGATATTTCCTGCAAATTAGCAACAAAATAGCCATTTTCGCTCCAAACCGTTCTGTGGATTGACGTTGTTTCAGCTGTGATCACGGATATAAATATTACAGATACAGTGAACATCACTGGCGCTTTAGCTCACCTAGTAAGATGTTTGACTCTCATGCTAAAGACCTGGGTTTGATTCCGGGTGTGAACATAGTTTGTTATTTGGAGTTTCTTTTTTACATTAATGATTTTTTTTTTTACATTAATAAGATGCCCAAGTTTTTATTTGAGACTCGCCGAACGGCATTGAATTCACAGATAAAAAGGTGTGGGTCCAACTTTCATTTTGGAACAATTTTTCAAGTAAGAGAAGGGAATGATTTGAGCATGCAGGATCACTGACTCATCTTAAACCTTTGTCGGCTGTGCTGAAGAGAAAGGTACAGAACCAAATTATTTAACTAATTAGATGCGTATTCTCCTGTCCTCTGGGACACACACACACACACACACACACACACTGCACGTTCGGCTGGCCGACGAGAAAGTGCAGCTGCAGAGACAGAAGCACATTATTTTTATTAATTTGCTGTGTTCTTCTGTCCTCCGGGCCACACACACGGGACTGTCTCAGCTGTTATTTTCATTAAGGAGTGTGCACGTACAGCATGTGCGCCACGTGCACGAGCCTACTATTGAAGCTGCCGTTACGCTTTTGGCCTGAGGGGGCAATCGCGAGTATAAAAATTCAAAAGTCCAAAAAGTCCCTTTAATTTACATTCTTCAAACTTCATTTTTATTTTCAACTTGACCCTTTTGAAAAAGAATTTAGATGTGTACTCCCTCCCAAGCATCCATAGCAGCTTTTTTCTGTTTTATCTAGCTGCATTTCTGTCTGTCCATCTTTGATTCACTACCAAAAAGATAATTTCTGCCACCTGTTGATGTAAGCCCATAACTGCAGTCTTCTTAAAGCTGTTATAACAAATCTACAGAACAAGCTAGGTTTTGAACAAAAACACGGTCACAAAACACTCACCCCTCCCCTCGGGTATCGTCCCTGAGATGCTTCTGCTGGAACCAGACACCCCAGTTCCGAACAAAACGAGACAGTGCTAAACATCGGTCACCATTTTCTTGGTCCAAACATCTCTTGTTATTTGTGACTTCAAGAAGTGTTTTTGGGACTCTGGTAGTTTGTTTCTCCTTCTCTGACAGTGAGATCTCTTGCATGATAGGTTAGGTAGGGCAAACCAACTCAACAGCATGCACACGTGTGTGTGTGTGTGTGTGTGTGTGTGTGTGTGTGTGTGTGTGTGTGTGTGTGTGTGTGTGTGTGTGTGTGTGTGTGTGTGTGTGTGTGTGTGTGTGTGTGTGTGTGTGTGTGTGTGTGTTAAATGAGCCACAAAAAGTAGCAAAAGCGAGCAAACACTTTTACATTTAAAGTGTCACTCACCATTGTTGTTCGGTTCTTGAATGTTGATCTTTCATCTTCAAAAACCTTTAAAGATACAATGTGTAGTTTTTACCATTAGTTTCTGGAAACATCCATCAAAATATTGTTGAAAATGAATGAAATAATGCCCAGTTGTTGAAAAATATTGTCGGCTTTGTAACATATGACCATAAAAATCAGGTATAAAATACATGGGAGCAGGTCTAAGCCTCTGGGCGACACCATATTAAATGCCATGTTTGCTTCTACAGGAGCCCATGAGGACAAAATGCATTTACTAATTTGAAACAAGCGGTTACAAAACATTCATCATTCTTAAATGTTGTTTTACACATTTACCTCTTCACTTGTTGCCAGTGATGAAAGGGAGTCTGATGTGCTTGTTATTTTGCTCAAGTTTGTACTCCCCAGGGCTTTTTGACCCTAATGGCATCCGTTGGTTAGGTCTTTCTCCAACAGAAGAATACTGCTTGCTTGCAACAATTTAGGTATCTACTGTCCCCTATTGCTAGGAAAAATACACACTGTCACTTTAAATAACTCCTCAGTTAAAGTCCAGTCATCAGAAGTTTAATTCAGCGATCCCTAACGCTCGGGTGCTCTCCTCACCCCTCCTCCACCCCCAGTCGAACCACAACAGCCTCATCTCCCTATTTTCAGTGCCAGCAATTCCCTTTGATAATACTAGTTAAAGACATCTAGTTTAATCTCTAACTTTTGTTCAAGTGGCAAAGTCCTCTTCATTATTTCTGTTGCTTCTTGTTAGCTAACAAGCATAACCAACATGGCTCCAGCTGTCCACAGAACAGAAAGAAAAGCTCTCATGTGTTTTTCTAACCTATTGATTGGATGATCTGAGCTTGGGGCCCGGAGTCTCTGGGCCCTATGGCTTACCACTGAGAATGAGCTGAGCATGCGCACTAAAATCTTCCTCGTATAAAATGGACGCTGAGACATTTTTCAAGAGAATGTAATCCCCAGAGCTTGTCAATGTCCTGGCAAAAACGTAGATGTAAACACACAAATGTTTTTCAGAGAATCATCTTGGTGCCAGAATGGAATTTTGTACAATGCTACTGTAAAACCAATTATTCTGTTCCACTGATTATTTTAAACTAGAGCTCCACAGCGCCATCTTGTGGGGCCTGGGTCCACTGGCCCTTAATGCAGAGACGTCTCTGCAGAACCTCTCACACCAGTGGTGTTCTGTTGCAAAATACGCAAGTGTGTTATAAGCGGAGGACCCAAGACCGACAACCAATGGTTGTTTTCGTGTCTTACGTGTCATTGGCGGAGGTTTTCAGACAAATACAAAAGAACAACTTAACTTAAACACTGGGGGCCACGGAAAATCTTTCTGAGGGCCTCAAGTGGCCCATGGACCGCACCTTGGACAAGACAAGCCTGATCCTTTGATACTAATTTTGACAAACAGCACTACAGTGTTTTGTCTGAAGATGAGAAATAATGCATTGTTCTTCCCGACTTAATGAGTAAAGTTAGACCATTTCAATAATTACCAAAACATCATCGCAGCACCACTCAGCCGTTCTCTGATGGAAATCAGTACCTGGCTGCAGGCTCCTTAAAACGTGAACTCTAGTGATTTCCAATTTAAGTGTTATGTTCTTAACGAAAACCAAAATGATCCAAACTGAGCAGCTAGACAGTAGCAAAAACAAAACAAAACAGAATAACAAAGCTTGCTCCTTAAGTGGGTAAATATTAAAACTGCAAAATTTATACACAAACTCAAGCGTTTGACTTGATTTTATTTGTTCTTTGTTTATTTCAAAAGTACTTTTTGGCCTAAAAATTACTGATAAATTAGCCAACGGCTAAATACAGAGTAGTTAGATTATGTGTGGCTTTTAGGAAGCGCATTCATTGTTGAATCAATGAAACATAAAAAAGATTAAATTTAAAAATGGCTAAATGTGTTTGAACTTTCTGCTCTGGTGCAACAATCAGTGTTAGAACTTTGTTTTCTACACACTCAGGTGACTTAACTGTTGTTATATTCATGAACCACTTTGCATGTTTTTCTTCTTTTCGAGGAAGAAGCTGGCAGTGAAAACATATTCAGCGCAGCCACAGTCAGTAGTGAAGCAAACTCCTCATACTGTATGCACATGATCATACGTCTGCTGTCTACTCCCGTCCTCCAAGAAATGCAAAAAAACCAAAAGTTCTTCTACTTGCAGATCAAAATGATATATCTTCCAGTTAATCATACGTGTGGAACATATTCTACAGAATAAAGACAGTATTTTCACAATTTCTTCCACCAGTGCCCTACGGAAAGTAACAATGAAGAGTTTCCTTACTTTAGCTGCCACTAAGTCTTCCAAACCTGTCATGCATGCTGTTTTTAATTATGTGTTTACAGTTAAATCTAAATAAGAAGAACAACAAAAAGTAACTCAGCAGAGCTGCAGCGCATATGTCTGCTGGGGGTTGCACATTACGGGTATATGTGAAGTCAGTGTGACATATATGGAGGGCAGGTGGTGCCAGTCAAGTGAAGTCCCAATCTGTTGGAGTCTCAACTGAATAATTAGTTCTTTTCCTTTTGGCGATCTTCAAATTATGTCATCAGACCTTATAGCGTGTTCTCATTATTCTGCGTAACAAACAAACTGGAAATAGATCTCAATCCTACGGAGACACCAAAATCCAGGGAGGGACTCAAACCGCTGTGTGGAACCAACAAGAACAAACATGACACCTGGCATTTCACAGCCAAACTGGGATGTTGCACACTGCTGAGCACAATAATGCTGCTCTATTGTTTATGTTCAATTGTTCATTTTTACCTTCAGGTGTTTTATATAAAAAGTTAGCTGCCTCATGCTAACATGCTAGTAACATTAAGTATTATAACAGCTGGAAATTATCCACACTGTGTTAATCACTTAGCCTAGAATCTAGACCATCATTTGACGAAGCAAAATTATTTTTGCTTTGCATGTAAGTTTTGTAATGTTCTATCAGAACTTCCACAGCTCTGGCCAGTATTGTGGCTGACCAATCACAGCACATTTATTTAGAAAAAAAAACATGTATTTTATCTTTTCCCTGCTTCTTCCACGATGTATGGCAGACTTCTGTCATGTTCAGTGTCCCCCTCATGTGTCCCCTTGTGTTCCCCATCCCTCTCTAGGCTCCCCTTATGTGTCTCCTTGTGTTCCCCAGCCCACTCCAGGTTTTCTCCTTAGGTGTTCCCCTTGTCCCTGTGGTCCCCAGCCCCCTCCAGGTTCTCTCAAGGTTTCCCTCGTTTCCCGTAGTCACCCCACTTATCATTAGGTTTCCGTCATGTTTGGATCATGTGGTCAGTATCTCCCTTTGGTTCATTTTTGCTTCCTTCCCCAGTTAGGTCTGGTTTCCTCCCCTGCTCCGTTCTGCTCCTCCTCTCTGTTTTTAGTCTCACCTGTGTCCAATTCCCTTAATCACCCAGCCCCTGTGTATATAACCCTGTCTGCGTCTCAGTGTGTTGTCGGTCCATTGTTTTGTGTCAGCGTTGTCTCGTTTCCCTCTCCTGGTCTCTTGGTCTCTAGGTATTGCTCTTTAAAGGAGCTCTTCCTCTCTTGGTCTCCAGGTTTGCGCATTAGGATTTTTGGATTTAGGTTTTTGGCTACCTGCCCTTTTTGGATTTTACTTTGGACAATTATTCCTAATAAAGGATTTTACGTTTTTTACTACTCCTGCCTTGTGTCATCCTGGTTTTGCATCTTGGGTCCTAACCTCCTCCTGGCTTACATCGTGACAACTTCCTCGTTAAGTGACACTGGTAGCGGTCTAGTTACAGCGCTCTATTTGTTTAGTGGTTCCAGGACTGTAGAAGGTGCTAGATCAAATACAGGCCATTTACCAATTCATGCTTCCTGCTGCTGACCAACTTCACGGAGATGCAGATTTCATTTTCCAACAGGACCTTGCACCTGCACACAGTGCCAAAGCTACCAGTACCTGGATGTCTCGATTCTCAAGAGCAGAAGTTCACCACACCCCTTTTGCACACTTGATCAGCACTTTGCCAAAGTCTGCATCAATGCAGTCTTTGGCAAAGGGAATTCCTACAATTACCCACAAGAAAAAATGTGTTTTAAAAGGAAAGAAATGATGATTAGAAAGATGATTAATGATATTAATTCATGCTCTGAATGTTTTAAGACTAAAACTGAATGTGGACAACAATGTCAATTTTGTCAAATTATTATTTGTTTGTTTGAAAGTTGTTAACAAAGATTTTTCTTTTAAAGTAGCACAAACAGCGACTGGCATCCCGGCATATGTCATGGTCAATGATTTAATGCTCACTGTCCCAATTCAGAAATGTTTGCACACTTGTGTACTACGTACTCGAAGCCTTATGGGCTTGACATACAGGAGGCAACAAACGACTACGATCAGTGATAGCTGTCGTTTTGATAATCTGACACACAGGAGGTGACATGCGGCAGCGGCCAGCAGCAGCAGCAGTAAAAGCCAGCGACGCACTCTGTTCCAGTCCTCTGTTGTTTTAATTGGCCGTCAGATTAGAGGGAATGTTGGGTTATTAAAGCAGTTCAGAGTTTAAAAAGCGGTAGATATGAAGTTTCACAAGGTTTTGCTAGTGTTAAGTGAAGTCTTACTTCTGACTTTACTATATAAAAAAACACAAATACGTAAATGAGTTCTTCCCAAACACAAAAAGAAATGGTGAATATGAGACCATACCAACAACCATCTCAGCAACTATTTCTCAATCTACTGCCTTTTTGTGAAGATCACTATATTCTTTTGTAGAAATGTTGTAAAGCAAGTAACTTTTCCTTCATGTTTGCCCAGAGATGTAATGCGAAGCATCCTGGCCGCTCATTGGTCAGTCAATAAAACCTCTGCTGATTGGTCCTTGTCCGAGCAACAGTGACGAAAAGTTTAAAATGTTCTATTTTCTGGGATCGCATCGCTGGCTCGTTTGTGCACGACACATGCACGAGCGCAAAATTTCACATGCTCGTTTTTTGCGTGTCGCATAGCAGGAGGGAGACCCGCGATTATCACTTTGTCACTCATGTCTCATTGAAAACGTATGGAGGAGAGGCGATGTCACTTCCTGTGTGTCGAGCTCATTCCTTCTAGTACTCCAAGTATTGGGACTGGGCCTAAAGCTTTCAGGCTCAGAGTGTGTCACACCAAAAATGGTCTGTGCAGAAACAGTCCTTTGTCAGTTTAGAACTTTTTAAAACAGTAACATGGTCCCTTGCGGAGAAAGAGAAGGACTATCCTTAGTTTTGTGATCCACTGAGGAAATCTGATTTAGGGCATCTGGTCAAAGTCCAACTGAAAGAAAAGTTTAAAATTCTGCCTCACCTAGTAATAAGTATTTTTACATTTGTCAACAAACTATAGCTCTTCTTGGACCTTATTCAAAAGGGGAACCTGATACCGTTGTCGTCCTTGTTAAAGGCAACTGGAGCACCAGAGGTGAGAACAGCATGCTATGCAATGCTGGTTGAAAATCTGCAGAAAGGTTTTATGACCCAAAACGAAAAAAAAACAACCTCTGATCACTTTCCTCATCATCCTGTTTACTGCAGACTCAAAAGCTTCAAAGGTCCATTTGGTGACAGATGAAGCTTCCCAGTTGGAGATGACTGAACTTTGTGAGGATGACGAACTGAAACATGTTTCAAGAGTTTTCACAAAAAAATATCCCAGGCTGCACCGAAGCTAATTATAACGTTTGCATCGACGTATGTCTGTTAATCAAATTCATCCATATTTAGACAAGTGAGGTCTAAACATTGGCCTGTTCTTACTGACAAACAGGAAAGAGTTGCTTGGAGTAGCCAAATCTAAAGACACTCATGTAAAATAAAGACTGCCAGGTGTCCCGCTAAGATCTCATGACCATGGTAAAAAAATAAAGAATTGTAAATAAATGTTTGAGCAAGCAATGTGCTAAAAAACAAACACTGAAACAGCTTTTGTTGTGGCTTTTTATGGTGATGAAGGGCTTAATTTGGCTCTTTATTTTAAAGTGAATCACCATTCCTGATCCAGAAGATGAATGCACCAATGTGTGTATTTATTCATTATTCCCATAACTTTAAATGACTGCTGAGACTCAGCAACACAACCTCTGTTTATGTTTATAAACCACAGCACTTCAAAAACACACTATTCTCTGTCAGAGTAGGTCAGCAGAAAACAACATCTTGCTCATTAATATTCACGATATGCTAATTTGTAATATTGTAAAACATATTTTCTTGGATAAAAAATGCAACAGTGATGTGCTAGCTCCACAAATAACATATGCCCGAAGGTGTTCCACAACATTGCGGAGCTGCTAATGCTAATGGTTAGCCTCTACCAGCGCTGGACTGACCATAGGGCATAGCGGGCAACTGCCCGCTGGGCCGACCCTTTCATCTTTTATGGGCCGGTGTCTGTTTTTTTTTTTTTTTCCTGGCCTCTAGTTGTTGCGGACAACTTGTCCGCGCCGCCCCACGCGACGCCTCGTAAAAGTTGGTGGATTGGCCAATTGGTAATAATACACTCTGGGCTGGACCAATAGCCAGAGGTCTGATGCACCCGCCAGTTGTTTGTGAATCTCAGTAAACAGACAGACGAGCTTTACAAAATGGAGAACAAAAAACGGAAAGGAGGAGCGGAGAAAATTCGACTAAAAAAGAAACTGGCCCTTCAGGCTGGCTGATGCTGGCACATGTGTTAAAATCTCACAGTTGTTTGGTAGTGAAGGTTCAAGTAAAATCAATTTAGGAAGTGATGGAGCCTCAGCCCAGCGACAGGTTGGAGAAGAAAAGAGGGAGGAGGAGGAGAAACCCGAGCCGGTGTTGTGCCATAAATTGACTCGCTGCCAAAAAATGATTAGCCACCGCGGGATCGCGCACGGTTAGGTAATTGCATTTCTAGACAAAATTCCCCAGGATTTCGCCCTAAAACTCAGCATATCTAGCAATATGGACATTCAGAAAGCAAAGATAACCTCTTCCGGTACTTAAACAGATGTTTATCGCGGATATTAGTGTGGCAGTGTTTGTGGCACCCTGCGCGGGAGCACGAGGACGTGCTTGTGGAAAGAGGGAGGAAGATGTGGCAGTGTGAGCATCCACAATGTCCCGATTGATGATGTGCCCTGGCTGCTTGGTTAAGGAGATGCTTCCTTTGGCTGACTGGTTAGAGCGTATGACTCTCACTCGGGAGTCTGGGGATCGAATCCCGCCCGGCACTCGTTTCTGCACCTTGCCACATTAGTTTTTCCAGTTCGGAAGTTGTTTTAAGTGTTGCTATTTGTCTTAAACGTTCACAATGAGGATATATTAATCCTTTTTGCAATATTTGCGATTGAAAGATGGTTTGTGCCACAAACTTTGTGATAAGAACTGGCTTTCTTTATGTTACAGCCTTGATACTAAAAAAATAAATAAACAATGTAAAATGGCACCCTGTATTGAATGTAAACGTTGTATAAATGGAAATAAACAATTCTCCAGCGATTTAATTTTTTTCCCCTTCCTTTCTTTAGTCCACTTGACATGGAGCCACAGTTAACTAGTTTGGGGCACATTTTTACTTGAAAAAAAGTATTTAAAATGATCAAGCTTTGGCTTTAATGACACTGTGTAGGTTACTATCTATACATTACGTTGCTCTATTTAAAAGTAACAAGATAAAAGCACTTCAGCACATAAAATTAAGATTGTCACTTGCCAAATAGACTACACCCTCCCGTTTACCTATAAGAAATGCCTCAAAATATCTTTAAATTCTTTATTGATGATTTAATTGTAGACAACTAAAATGGCATTTTACTTGCCAAAAAGTGATTGAATTGCTAAGATTTTCATGGAGGCTAAAATTGACCAAATAAGGGTTTTATGTTTTATCTGTTGATGTTACTGTACTCATACTGCCTACTGTATCATCATAAACACCCCAAAAATGGCACAGAAAAAAAGAAAAAAAAAAGAAAATAATTTCCCTTGCCAAAAATTGATTACAGTGTCCTGGTCACGTGTAAAGGGTTACATTTACCTAAATATTACTTTATTTATTATCTCTTGATGTTATTAGTGCCATCACAGGATGCTGGGTGTCTTCCACATTCATAAACACCTCAAAAATGGCAACAAATGATAATTTCCCTTGCCAAAAATTTATCACAGAGTCCTGGTCACCCATAAAGGCTTAAATTGGCATAAACATTACTTCATTTATTATGATGCTGGGTGTGTTCCACAATCATATTCGAATAAACATGAAAATATTCCGTCCGAATATCTGTTTCTTGTTATAACAGCTAGAAGGATTTACAGTTAAAATAGGAGAAACACGTGACTCCCCAGGAAGGGTCGTAACACCACTTGCCTCACGCACATAAGTGACCAAAACAAAGCAGCATGGAGACACTCCGTCTCCAACCACCTCTCAGGCAGCAGCCTGCACTCCCAAGTTCTACACGTCACCAGAACATAAACAACCGCAACACAATAAAAGCAGTGTTATACAAAATGGAAGGCCTGTAGTGTTTATTCTCTTACAGTAACAACTTATCAATTTTTTGGAGGAATTTATTTGAGAATTTTTTGGTTTTTAGTAATTGTGCAATAGAAAAGTAATCGCTAGATTAATTATCTAAATAGTCATTAGAATAGTCGACTATTCGATAAAATAATCGTCAGAATAATCATTTTAAAAATAATCAGTTACCCCCAACCCTACTTTTTAGAATACCAGGATAGGAAGGATGGTGTAGGTTTACGTTTATTAGATTGATACATAAATACTACCAATAAGAAAGTGTACGTAGGTGTGTGTCAGAAACAGCGTAAGGCTTAATGTCTTTTCCAAAAAAAACAGGTGATGGGCCGGTCTCCAGTCAAAATGCCCGGGCTGAATTTTTGTCCCAGTCCAGCCCTGGCCTCTACTTGCTGCAAAAATCAACATAGAAATTATCACAAGCCAAGGTGAGTGAGTCAATATATGCTAATCTACAACCAGGAGAGAGTAGAGCATGTATCAGCTATTAGAAGCTAACCATTAGCATTAGCAATTCCACAACATGGCAGAATACCTTCAGGCGATTTGTGGAGATAACGCATTAATGTGGCAGGGCAAATGGGGGTAGCGGAAGAGTCTGTTTGCTTTTAGCTAATCCAAAGCAAGATGTTCAAATATCATGAATACTATGTTTATGTTTATTTATTTGGCAGACGCTTTTATCCAAAGCGACTTACAATTTATAACCTATTGAGCTCCGGGAGTTGACGTCACTTCTCCCGGCATGCAACAGTTCAAATCAAAACGGCGCCATCTTGGCAGGCAGAAGCCCGCAGCTGGAACATTTGTTATTTTCAGAAAACTCAATCAAACGGGAAATATGGTAGATTCCTGTTGTGCCCCAGGATGCAGAACAGACGCGGGCAACATAAGGGATGAGCCATCTACAGGATTCCCCAAGATCCGGAGCGCCGCAAACGTTGGATCATCGTAATAAAACGTGCTAGTGACTGGGCTAAAATGAAACTGTGGGGTACCGAGAGTAAAGGTTTTCACTTATGCAGCGACCACTTCATATCAGGTACTTAAACCAACGTTTCCTCAACTGTGTATGGTATTTATTTTAAATGCTTTTATTATGATTTTTAGTGGGCTTCCTAAACTTATTTTGGCGTGGCTTTTTCTGTCTTATTACTCATAGCAGCAAGTAAGCATCACGTAAAACGTTGCCTTGTGAGTTCTGCGTGCTGCCGTTTAAGTGTCTTATGATCACAGCAATTAACCAGCTAGGCTGTATTTAATTTTTAAGCAATGGTTGATCAATTGTCAGATCACACATAAAAAGCACTTTGGATTGCTATTATCGGTCTCACCGAGACAGATCTCAGACAGATCCTGAGACGCTCCTGCCTGACATATTTATTTTATTCACAGAAAAACAAATCAGACTAGTGATTTCTCTTGGCGTTCAGTTTATACATTCAAACAGCACAGCACTCTATTTAAACTTCTTACATGTAAATCTATGTTATTTGTCCATCCATCCATTTTCATCCGCTTATCCGGAGTCGGGTCGCGGGGGCAGTAGCCTAAGTCGAGAGGCCCAGACTTCCCTCTCCCCAGCCACTTGGGCCAGCTCCTTCGGGGGAATCCCAAGGCGTTCCCTGGCCAGGTCCGCTCCGACAGCTTCTGGCGTTTTTAAAAAGTATCCCAGGGGCACGGTAAGTGTCGGAGATGTTTAATCTATTTAATTTCTGACTAAAACGATTTATTTGGTTTTAAAGTGTGAAGTAAACTCTGACGAAGTAAAATCCAAGCCGATCCCATTCATTTTGTTTACCTTTGTTGCCTGCCAACATGGCGTATACTCTCTGAGAGTCACATGACGTCCGGAGCACTACAGAGCATGTTGTGATCTGTGGGGGAAACCAGAGTACCCGGAGGAAACCCACGCATGCATGGGGAGAACACGCAACTCCACGCAGAAAGGCCGCAGCCGAGTTTCGAACCTGCAACCTTCGTGCTGCAAGGCAACAGTGCTAACAACTGCGCCACCATGCAGCCCAATGAGTAAGAGTTATGCTGTTCTCACCTCTGGCATGAGTAAGACTTCAAATCCTGCCATTTTTGCCGCCCACCCCTCCAGCTAACTTTTACTTACTGAAATAGAGCATGAGAGCTTTTTTTCCACAGCGAACGACTCACAAGACAATCTAGTGTAGGCCCGCTTTAATTATTTTCTACACTTTTAAAGCATGTTCTGATTTTGTCTGAATAACATGCATTCATGTTTCACCTTTACCAAACTCACAATTGTCTGAGTAGTAAAACTGGCAGTATGAGGATAAAATAAAAATGTTCTGTTGTGCGGCATCCAGAGATTTCTTCCCCCTACTGTTCTATTTCCAAGCATAGGTGCTTCAGTAAAAGCACTTGTCATGAGCACTGCTTGAACACCCAGGCTTCATTAGCCATTATTTAGTAATTATTATTTAGTTGTTTTAGTATTAATAAAATAATTGATTAGATTCATTTTCTGTAATCAAGCAAATGTAAATTCTGCACATGACCGAAGCTTTATGGCAAGCCAATTAGTGAAATCTAAGAGACCCAATATTACCAAGTTTTTAAAAATCAATACTTTGTGAATAATTTAAAAAAATTATTCTAAATCAGTTTGCATTTGGAGTGAAGAAGCAAATACAGCAGAGAACTTTTTACAACCAAGAAAAAAAAACAAAGAAAACTTAAAAAATGAGTGAGGAGATAGATGGCCTGGTAAGTCTCCATAACCCAAGACTACACACTTCTTAAACAACGGGTTCATGCAAATGTAGCACCAGTTTATAGGGCCTGACCTCCTGCTTTGGCTCAGAATTTGGCACTGGAATACGAATAACTAAATCAAACAGCTCATTTTTTATCATGACTTTACACATCTTACGAGAGCAGCTGGATTTAGGCATGCTGATGCACGTTATAACAATGTGAAGACAAAATACAGTCACTCCTTCAGCTCATACTAGCCTATATAACTGACACTGAATTTTAAAAATAAATAACCTTTGAAATAAAACCAGTAAAATTAAACCAAAAATACAAACGCTGAAGTATCGTGCTTTTGATTGAGATGATAAAACATTAGTTACTATCACATCATTTCTCCATCATTGCAAACCCCCTCAAACTTTACAGTTGCTCAATTTTCCCATGTTTTGTTATATTTTTTGAACTGCTGCTCATGGAGTCGTAATTTCCATAATGCTTGTATTTGTTACTGATGATGCATTTGAGAAGTAATGGATTCATTGGTCTTAGTTCTAAATCAGTAAATATTTGCAAAAACGTTTTTTAAATAATCAATTATCAGACATGTGCATCTTTGGCTGATTTCCAATTAAAAAATCAACAGCAGCAGGCAAGTTCACTGCAGTCCACTATTTACTTCTGTGATGTGATAATGCTCTTCTACTATGTTAGTAGAAGTATATAATAGTATAAATATAAATACAGATGCTTTAGATTGCTACTGCTAATTGTCTTATACATTTTTAAGATACATATTAGTCTTTGTTTACCATCCGTGATGTCGAAAAATTTGCATCGGCCACTGGGAAACCCATATTGGATGGCTTTTTATGTTTACATCAATGAAAGAAATGTTGGACTTGTGACATGAAATCAAATTAAAACCAAAAACAAAGTCTAATTTCTTTTTTAATTAAAAAAATATAAAACTGTTGTATTTCCATGATTGGTTAAGGAAGTGAAATCACGACTGAGACAAGTATGCGAGTAAGGCAAAGGAAATGCAAGGTCTTATGAGGTATCGTGAATGTAGGATGTTTAAAAGTTTGTTGTGAATAAAGATAATAAATGTCAAAGCCTTCAGGAAGTGGTGTAACACCTGCTGCACTTTTGCAAATCAGGCGACAACTTCGCTTTTCGACAACTTCGCTTTTCTTATTAGTGACATGTTTTGCCCTGACTTAAAAGTCTGAGCAAACATTTTAAAGGGGGTAATTAGTCAACAGTTAAAGGCAGAGATCATCTAGTGATGAAGATAAAAGGGCTCAAAGGAAAACAATCTGGAAACGGGGCTGGTTCCATTCACATCACAGTCGGATTCCAGAGGTTAGAAGCTAAGTCCTGTTAAGAGCCTCAAAGGGCGAAAACGCTCAACGCTGAGCACTTGCGTGCAACTGCTTGGAAACACAGTCAGAGTTTAAGCACACAAACATGAAAAATATCAATTTCACATTTGGCTTAACGCTTTCACACTTTGTGTCACCGACACCAAAAAGAGAAGGACTGTGGAAGACAAAACACAGCTCCTGGATAAGGATCATGTTAATGCCTATCAATTAGGATCAAAAAGGGATTAACCGGCATGGCTGCAGCGGTGGGATGGGAGCCCATGCAAAGTCACTGAATACTAGGGGTCGCACCCCCGACTTCATTAGGCCTGACCTTTCCACACCATTGTGTGGCGGGAGAGACCCTGCAGTTTGTGAGTGCAGACTTAGCCACCTTAGAAGGCTTGTAGGGAAGTCAAAATGAGACACGCAGAAAAGCTGTTTGAGATCAGTGAAATATGAAATATTCACTTTCAGAGTCCAGAGAGACTTATTAGGTTGCCGCAGCTTGGTGCAGGTGGGTATTTACTCATCAACCTTCACACTCCCGTGCAAAGGAAATGATTTTCTTTTTCACCTCAGAGAGAAGTGAGATTTACTAATTAGTCATGGTGCAGCCTCCCCTCGCTATGATGTACCGCTACCTTGCTGTCTTAATTCACTAAAGGTCAAATGGCAAAGTGAAAGCAGGTATTCAAGGTGTGTTAAGAGTAAGCCCCAATTAAGGAAAAATGCAAGCACACTGTCAAGTCTGACTTTGATGGTGTTTTTTGCAAATCCCCTGAACTGGGAAAATTTGCAGCTTCATGTTTTGACTTTTTAAAAACATTTTTATTTTAGATACGAAAAGATTTTGAATGACAAAGAGATAAGAGTTTGAGACAAATCGGCATAGTGTTGCAGGATTTAATAGGAGTTAGAGGTCATGTTAGGACAATTCTTTATGTGTTGATCCAGTTCTTTTACTTAGCATCCTTTTTTAATTTCGATTGCAGAAGCGCCAGTACTGGGCCTAGAGTGGTGCTAAAGTAGCACCAACTGGGCTGGGGCAAAATTATAATAACTGCTTACACCTACCATTGGAGGCAGGATTATGGAGGCCAATGACAAACCAGAATGAGTGGCAAGTCTGTGTAATCTAAACCATTAATAAAAGTTGTTCTAAATGCTAGTCAGTGCTCACATAGAGCTGCACTCAGAAGTGTCCTTTTTAACAGTGTATAAATGTTATTTTCACCAAACATTTAAAACATGGTAAGATTCTTTCTTTGGCACATCAAAATGTTGTTAATAAAGAGTAATGATGTGCACAATGTCGATATATGCACACACAGCTAGGTTTTTGCAAAACATTTTCCCTCACTCATCTAAGGTCAACTGTGGTCTACACCACCGTGTTGTCAGCAAAAATATCATGTGCATTGTGAAGCCCATTCATAGGCATGCCAAGCCTGTAGGTGGGGGTAGTTCCCCAAATCTTTGGCATCTTTGCCAAAAAATACTCCTTGGATGTTGAATAACTGGGTGGCCAGCAACAAGCGTCCTGTATTTGACATAGTTCATTCTAGGGTTCTACAACCCCCCAAGGTGCTTTACAACACAATCATCCACCCAAGCACACGCACATTCACACACTGGTGGTGATAAACTACGGTGTAGCCACAGCTGCTCTGGGGAACATTGACAGAAGTGTTGACACTGCCAAGCACTGGCGCCACCAGTTCCTCCAACCACCACCAGCAGGCAAGGCGAGTTGAGTGTCTTGCCCAAGGACACAACAATACAGATGGGGCTTGAACCTGCAACTCTTTGGTTATGGGCCAGGAACTGAACTCCTCTGCGACAATCCTTAACATCGTCCCTTGTTATTGACTTTGCAAAACCTAAAACTCTGGTTATTAACGTCCACAAGCAAATGCTGACAATGGAGAATTCACAAATCTACCCTTTGGTTCAAGTTTTTAAAATAATGATTTCAGGTGTCGTGTATCTTCACTTTCTTGCTGACAGGCCAAACCGTAGAAAACATCTTTGTTTTGTGGGAAACCCGGCTACGCATGGTCTCAAAGTCTTTTACTTTAGTGGCAAACACGCTAAAGCACGTGTGCTGAGAACAACAGCAATACTCCTGTTTGCAAGGTCATTTTTATTAACTAACCCGAGGTCAAAATGTTGGTCAAACAACAGGCGACTGTTGTTAAGGAACTAGTCGAGTGACGTTGGGTCATCTTGAACTCTGAATTTACACAAAAACAACAATTTACTGAAAGAGATATTTGGTGTTTATTAATGACGCAGTTCAATGATGGCGACCAACTAGTACTTAAATAAGTTTTTATTGAACCAGTCAGGGAAAAACTTTAGCACCAGCTCTGGCTTACCACTGGTGCTTGTTTTTTTTTTACAATTATTGTTACGTGTTTGGAATGTTTCCGTATGTTTTTCTTAACATTATCATCACGGCTGCTGTACAGTGAAGACACAATGTTGTTTACCTTGTGCCTTTCATTTCTATGATTGTTCATGTCGCTTCATTGGGAGTTGATTATTGTACGTTTTTGTGCAATGCAATAAGAAACACAATTATAGACAAGGAATTTCATATTTATTGTGCATCCTCTTATTAGACCAAATTATAACACACAATCATTTTCCACTTTCCTTTTTTTAATTGTTGGTCTTGAATTCAGCAACATGCTTTTATTTTGTAATAAAACTCAAGACTACTGAGTTTTATTGATGAGCAAAAGTCTGTCTCAAGCGCTGAAGTTTCTTTCTAAAAGTACTTGTTCAAGCAGGCATGTAGCCTTAAGCTGCAGTTAAACAGCGGTCACCCTGACCCACAGCCGTTTTCGTGCCATTTAGGAAGGTTTTATAGATGGGCACACTCTGTGTAAAAGTCAGCGGTGGGTTCGCAGTCGAATGGAAACAGGAAGTCCTGCTGAAGCTGTCACTGCTACACGGTGCTGACTGGGAACGGACATGCAACATGTGCACATGAGAAGGTTGGCAGGATCACAAAACAGGGAGGCAACACAACACTGTCAATAAATAACCTCGCACTTTTAATCAGAAATAGCATTTTCATCACAGTCAAAGATGATATTAATGAGGACAGAATGTTTATCGTGGTTTCAGCATAAATTCGAATGCTAAAAACGAAACAACAAAGGTCTGCCATATCCAAGCAAAGAGCCCGATGCTGAACTAAAAGGGAAAATTCATAAAGCTACCAAATAAAACCAGTTAGCAGGCAAAAAAACACAGTTAAACAGATGCATGATTGGTAGATGTTTGCCCTCCTTAAGAAATCCCAAAACTTATTTTAAATCAGACGGATCAAACAAACCAAATTACAGCAAAATTTTTCTTTTTCTTGTTTATAAGAAGTTTCTAAAACATCCACTTAGTTCCACATGAATCTATAGGTTTGGCAACTCTGACCTGCCTCCTTCCCTTGTGAGACCAAAACACATGCATGAACCAAAAGGTAGCGTGTCCTTTTTTCTTTCTGTGAAAACAGAAAAACCCAGCTTAAAGTTACTGACAGCCACTGTTGTGTTTATGTGGCATCAGAACACTGTCCGGCTTTCACGTGAGGTCTTAACAGCAGACGAAAACAAGCAGCAAGGAGGGTGAAGGTCACCTAAACCTTTACGTGAGACAAACCGACCTTCGAACATCACAAAAAACACCACTTTCAAATAAATACGGCATTGGGTGGTCTTGAATTCTAAATAAATATCCAGAAAATGCTACTTCATTAACGATCGAATTGTAATTTTTAATTAGCGCAACAAAAATACAGAGTTCTTCCGCTTTGTCCTCTGATTCACATTAAATGTATAAAATACGTAACATTTTTAACTGTTTTATGTATGTTTTCAAAAATTTGTCTTGGAAAATTAACGATTTGTTTTTTAGGAAAATTAAATACCATCACACAAATCTAAAACAGGAAATCAAATATAAAAATATAGCCAAAATAAAAGATAATGAAACATTTATTTGACGGTAAATTACTTACTGCAGCTAAATATATTTTTTACGTTCATTGTGAAAAATATTTTTTTAATGTCCGTTTTATATAGATCATCATAATCTAGCAAGATTTAGACTTTAAAAAAACTTACATTTTATTTAAGTAAATACAAAACTAAACTTGTTTAAATTTTTTATTTCTATAGGAATGTTTAATATTAAGTGCGTATTTATTGCCTGGTAATTATTAAAATTGTAAAATGGGTTCTTTATGTAACGACTAATTTATAAACAAAAATTTGCAGTATTTTTTGCACACATTATAATATTATGTTATTAACGTGGATGTTTGGATTCTATTACGATTTGAAACATTTGATTATTTTTTCTGTTTATGAAAATTGAATTAAGGACATTTAACGTTTAGAAAACACGTCTATAAAAATCTGAAGATAAACGTTACAGTAAAATTCTATAAATAAATAAATGCATTATGCAAAATGTGGGGAAAAATATTGAACCTAATAATAAAAAATTTCACTTCAAACTGCATTTATCTTAAAGTTTTTGGACGAAAAGTTTATTTACACGATAAAATTTGCATAATTTTCTTAGGCGAGTTCTGATTTTTCTTAGCGCTAGAGACCAAGTCACTTCTTTCACCAAAACCTAAAATGGACGGTAGTGGCTTTGAGACGACGGCTAAAACAAGCTAAAGGTCACCGTTGTGAAGTTGTACTTTTTGGAGGAAAAAATAAAAGCAAAATGGACCCACGTTTTGGCAGCCTGCCAGAAAATGTCTTAAAAACAAACACTGAAGGAATTCATTAAAACATCTCAAACCAAAGCCAGGAAAACTGCGCCATCACGCAACTGTCAAGATAAACAACCCTGCATTTATACAGCAACACCTTCTGCTGTTTCTATGGAAACATTCTCAAATCTTCTTCATTTCTGCATGAAAATAGACCCAGAAAATCATTTGAATCAAGCTCAGGAAGCATTAGAGCCCAGATGAAAGCCTGTTTTCACCAAACATCGTCACGACTTTAGACCTCGTGACCTCATGGTGGGTGGAGACAGTGAGCCAATAGAAAAACAGGTTAGATACTCAGCCTGCTTCTTGCATCAGCATTTTACAACTCAAGAGAAAGTTGGGAGTTCCATATCCAAGATTATCTCATGAAGAGATCCCCCTCCCTATGAAAAGTGCTAATATAAAAAAAAAGATTGCTGCTGAGGAGTGAGTGGCAACCTGGAATTTGATGAGCCAGTTCTTGGTCTCACATGGTGTAACAAGGTCTGCAAACACTGCTGAGTGCAGCAGAGGAATATTTCCTTCAGGCAGTCCCATTCACTCACAGCAGCACCTTGAAGCGTTCCTGAACTTGCTTTTTTTTCAACTCTGAACATGCCTAAATGTGTTTTAATGAACGGGTCAATACAGAGCTTACCGTTAGAGAGGGCTGACATGAGGACTGAAGAAACGAAAGTGAGAAACCACAGAGTCTACCTGTAAGAATCAAACAGAAAAACATTAGCTGAAACTGTAAAAAAAAAAAACTACAAATATTAGAAGATTTCAAAAATAAACAACCATAAAATAAGTGTTTTGCCTTTTTGCCAAACCGGTAAAGCTGCTTTAGCAATCAAACAGCCACAATTACGTTTTTAGAATTAGCTAACGTTCTATAAAATGTTTAATTGTGCTTCAGATGCAGTGACTCGCTCAAATATTTAGTCGTAATTTAATCTTATTGTGTGAAAATGCCAGATTTGGCCAAACAAGCTAATTTTCATCAGGAAATCTAGCCAGGAATAATTTTTTTAAGGAAATACATTATTTTAGATTCTATTCTGTGTTAAAAACAAACATGAATGCGTAATTATTATTATTATTTAATAATTTGTTTTTATTATTATTATTAATATGATTAAATGACTCACAAAGAACTTTGGCATTTTACTTCACACTTTATGCCACAACCCAAACACTGCCCACCAAATAGTGTTTTTGCATTGTTTTACAATTCATTTCTTCCAAAATACTTCATTTATGGTGCTAAAATTCCACTTTGATCACATTTTCATGCTTTCTCCTGAATGCAAATAGAATTTTTTTTTACTTTTCAGGTGCTGCATCAGGTTTAGAAGAAGCACTGCCCGTCCCAGTACAAGCCCAAGCACCCAGAACTCAAAAACCAGTGAGCATCAAGGAAAGATGAGATTAAAGGAGCTGTCTGACGCCGATGAGTATGCACTAAGTAGATGATAATGAAGAGATCTGCCCAGGCTGGTCAATGATATGGCAAACAGATAAACATCACAGACTTAGGAGAGTGGAAGTAACTTGTAAAGTCAGAGAAAAGCTCGGGGCGCTTTGAAAGCCAGAGTTAATATGATTTGCTGCCTTCCTGTGAACTGGATTCTGAAGAAGCTGCAAAACTAAAACAGAAACATTTCAACATCTTGTGCTTTGCGTCACACATTTACTGACTTTAACGCAAATATACGGTTTAATTGTTTAACGGAAACGTGTTTCGATTTATAACTCCAAAAGTTACGCGTAAGAAAGATTTTATCTTTAAACTCACTCCAAACATTTCTCTATCACACAAAACACCAGAAGCATCTAAAACAACGCCTAGCATGATATTTTTAAGTTTGCCTATTTTTGTAGACTTGAACATTAGGTTACGTTTCAAGAAAAATACAAAAATCTCTGATATAATTTTGTAAATATCATCCAATGCTTTTCATAATAAAGATAAACAACTGGATCAGAGATGTTTTTATCCTTGCAAAGTAAACTAAACAGCCAAACATGGTTACAATTTCCAACAAATATCATTTTTTTAAATAAATGTGGACATTTTTCATTTAAAAAAGTCTTCAAGTTAGAAGAAATAAGTGGACAGCCTGCAGAGACGTCATGGAGATGCCCTGAAAGCCTGTCGCAGTCGTGAATCAGACAAAATGGCTACCAGGCATCCCAAGAAGAGCCAGCGAGAAATATGAGAGGAAAACATGACAACTGCCTTACGATCTCACCAAAATAGTAAAACTGATGAATTATGGTAATTCGCTGATTATTAAAGCTGAAAAATAATAGTTCCACTGAAATTTGTAAAAACATTCAGGTGAGAAAAATCTTTATGAAACATTTGCAACTTTTTCTGATTACTCCTTACAGGCTGGCATTTGCTTCAAACACAATAAATCATTACCTTTTGAGTGTTTTTGCTCTAGAACACATCATGAGTATCAGAGCTTTAGAAGCCATCTTGCCCAAACAGCGCAGACGCTGAAAGGAGGAGGTCATATGACTGCTTAGTCTGCAGACGACTGCAATGACAGGCAGAAGAGACTATAGTCACATCTGCATACCCACAATTTACTTTGGGTTAAATCCTTAAAAACATTTGCATGTTTTTATAATTTTGCAGCCTGAAAAGTGTTTTTCACGCCAGATTATTTTCCATCTATTCAACTATTTAGGAGCAGAGGGGATGAATGTGGGAAAAAAATATGCTCAAATCTCCATTTTGTTTGGTGAATCTGTTTAAACAGCTTAAACTTCATGTAAATGATTTTGGGGCAACTTTTAAGCTACATCAGCTGACATTTGAGGAGAACTTTTAAAACTTTTAAATGAAAGATTGATTAAAAACAAGCATGTTTACAATGATCAGAGCTATACGAACCTCTCCTTGACTTTGTGAACTTATCTTGAACGCCAAGGCTTGAAAGATGATTCCCTGCAGACAGGAAATGGGAAAAAATGTTTTTAAGGGTTTACATCTGATGAGTAAATAATAGGAGTTGTTGCAAAATATATATTATCCAGTGCTTTGTTATCATTTAGCAGGTTGTGTGTGTTCATTTTATGGTTGAAAGGGTTAAAAGCAGCGAGATGAAGGCAGGTGTTTCCCCTCAGGTGTGTGCTGAGTAAACAGATCTCTTAAGCGCGCACGAAGTTGATCAAAAGCCTCGCGTCAGCAAAGGTGCGTCACCTGTGCGTGTTCCTGAAGTGGAGTGAATCAGGTCAACTCCGCAACAACGAAACACGTTATTGTCTGAAACGAGTTATGGGAAAGGAATTGTGCTAAATTATTCTAATGGGATGTTTTATAAGCACATAACTGAAGAAAATGGCTGAGCTTCGTGTAGTTTGACAGCCCAGACCGGATCTGCAAGCGACACAAGTGTAAAATAATAAATAAAAATCAAGAACAAATAGCGGCGCGACGCTGCAGCATCTCTGGCGCGTCTTACCTACCTGTGCATAAAGAGGTGCCCGCTGGTAGACTGCAGGAGGGGAAAAAACTTTAATGTTTTTCATATAAAATTAAATGTAGCCTATAAATAAATATATCGAGTGACGAGTCGCGGTCGACGGCATCTGAGGAGGACAGCAGAGATCCCCACCGAGCGGCTTTCGTTGCTAAAATGCGCGCAGAGATGTAAAACTCCATTTCCAATTTTATCAATTTGAGACAGACTCCAGACAGTCTCCTAGCGGTTGCGTGCCGGGTCCCCGCTCGCGCGTGCACGCCGAATGGCGCGGAAAGTGGCGATAACAGATGCGGAGCGACGCGGCGCACGGCCAATAGCGACGAGGAGGGGAAGCCCCGGAGCCAATCAGGTGACTGCATCAGGCAGGAGAGGGTCCCGCCTCCCCATCCTCCTCCTCACCCCTGTCTGTTGACAGTGAGTGCACTGAATAAAACAACAGTCTGAGTCAAGCAGTTCATTGCGCTGAGATTTGGGTCACTGACTGCAGCTCATTCACTCTGGGAAAACAGCAGAGGCGCAAGATGTTATAACAAAGAAAACACATCTTATTTAACATTTTATTTTTTAAATAGATGTTCCTGTTTTATTTGATTTGGACTGTTTCAATTATTTATATTATGGGTTTTGCTTTAATAAAGGCAGCTGATTTTAGATGATAGATAGATAGATAGATAGATAGATAGATAGATAGATAGATAGATAGATAGATAGATAGATAGATAGATAGATAGATAGATAGATAGATAGATAGATAGATAGATAGATAGATAGATAGATAGACAGACAGACAGACAGACAGACAGACAGACAGACAGACAGACAGATAGATAGATAGATAGATAGATAGATAGATAGATAGATAGATAGATAGATAGATAGATAGATAGATAGATAGATAGATAGATAGATAGACAGATAGATAGATAGATAGATAGATAGATAGATAGATAGACAGATAGACAGATAGACAGATAGACAGATAGATAGATAGATAGATAGATAGATAGATAGATAGATAGATAGATAGACAGATAGATAGATAGATAGATAGATAGATAGACAGATAGACAGATAGACAGATAGATAGATAGATAGATAGATAGATAGATAGTCTCAAAGTTCAACTGATCCCAGACAGCTTTCCGCTTTAGCAATCACTGATTTCCCACCAAAGTTCAGTGGGTTCATATTTTTTTTTACTATGGAAACCGATTTCCTCGACTTCCACTCATTTAGAAAATCTATTTCATTCACAAATAAAGCCCTCGCCACCCTTTTACAGTCCCACTCCACAGCTCTGGTTGCCCTTTCTCAGGACAGCTGCTGATCCTCAAGAGTAGACATCACAAACGTTTTGTTTCGCACAAAACAACTTCCAAGTCGGCGTACAAACTCTGTCAAAGTCTACACCGGGCGTACAGACGAGTTTGTTGTAAAGAACCTCTGTCCTTTGGATGGGAAATAACAAGTCTTGTCTCCTTCGGCTTTGCGCCCTTTAATTTGCATTGTTATGGAAAACCGCTGGATTTGGATAGAGCACAGAATCATTGAGGTCACCATAATAGAGTGTGACAGCTTGCCCTTTCAAATCTATTTGGAAGTGAAATCAAAATTCCTGGGAAAGTAAGTCCAGAGAGGACATCTTACACGGGCTTTTGGAAAACACATGTGTCATAAGATGTGTAACAAACTGCACCTGGAGAATTTGCAAGGCTAAACACGTGGGTATTTGGCTCTTGTGATTTTAATTTTGGCAGAAACTGATGATGCTAATCCAGAAGTAACAGTCAAAAAATGACAACGGCAAAGTCAAGTACACATTTTTGTTGTTTTTTTCACAAAAGTTTCTTAAATTAAAAGTCTCATCATGACCGATCCTCTTCATCGCCCTGCCTTTCAGATATTAACCTTGTGGCACTACAAAACAGCCTCTTCCTGACTGCGGGACCCCATAATGAGCCAATACAATGAGGCTTCAGTTCAAGTTCACTGCTCACCTCTCTTTGGTGTCTCTCGGGGTCTTTGTTGACATTTGTCAGCCCCAGAGGAATTTGGGGGGTTAGATTTCTGCAGCAGCCCCAACAGTGGACTCTGACTCCCAGACTTCGGCACAAAGGTGGAAAAAAGTTTGCTCAGCGATGAACAGACTTTATAACCTTGCAGGGGAAAGAAAACCAAAGAAGTGAGCTGAATAAAGATCAGGGCACATTTCAAATTCCAGCCAAAGTAATCAAAGATTTGAAAAGGGCAGATGTGCCATTTTGAACTTGGGCTAAATCCCAAATAAGAAGGAAATAAAAAAGGGAATCTGGAGGTAAAGCTTGTGGGAAAAGGTGTCTATACTTTAAAAAGGTTAATAAAATAATGCTACACTTGCTACCATTCATGACAACATGCAAGCAGCAAATGCCATAAACTGACCTGTTTCTATTACTTTCATAATTACTTTTATATATCAATTAATTTAAATCAGTTGTACATTTTTTCTGTTTTGTTTGCATTTTTAAAGGAATGACCCACAATTAGATTAATTTAGTGCTAAAAGCTCTATTATATTCATCACCTAATAATCACCAGATTTAATGAAACCATGAAATCAAACTATTAAAATGTAGTCATACATAATTCATTAATCAATTTTCCCTGTAATTTGGTGTTAGTGTGAGTGCAAACATAAGAAAATGAAAGATATACAATTACATTCCCAAAATATTTTATTACAATGTAATTGTTGAAAGATTTACCTGTTATAAATAGAATAGTGGTTTTACTGTGGTTTTATAATATAATGGTAGTTACATAAATATTTTTTACAAAGATACCCAACTTTTTTCAGTTTTAGAAATGTTTTTATACTTTCTTTAGTTTTAGCCTTCAGTGATAGGTCCTTTTTGGGTTGCATTTGTGCTACCTGGTTCTCTTTGTGCAAAAAAAAATGCTTTACAATAAAAATAGCATCATATGCAATCTGCCATGAAGGAAATATAATATTCACAAGCTTTTATAAAATCTCAGACTGCTGTGGAGCTGTTTCTCAGCGACGACCTTTTTAAAAAATGGGAGAAATGGCTGAATCTGCAAAGGGAATATTGTTCAATTCCCAGGAAAGGTTCAAAAAGCTTGGAAGACTGCAGGTTGAAATTTTCCTTATTTTAAAGGAAGTTTTCTGAAATTATGTATTATTATTTTAGAAATCGGTTAAAGTGATAGTCTTACGATACAAAGTATGCAATATGGCAAATTTGGTTATGCATAGCCTGCCCCTTGTACCATAGAGCCCCAAGCAGTTTCAATTAACCCTAACCCATCCATCCATCCATCTTCTGAACCCGCTTTGTCCACGCAGGGTCGCGGGGGGGGGGGGGGGGGGGGGGGGCAGTCAACGGGCAAGTAGGCGGGATACACCCTGGACAGAGAGCCAGTCCATCGCAGGGCATAACCCTAACCCATCTAATCAAAACAACTCTTCCAACACAACAGGACCTAACATCAACAACCCATTGGGGCTAGGAAGGAGGGGTATTGATAGGTAGTTTCAGCTCATTAAGAAACAACAGACAGCTACAGTTTATAAGTGCAACTCTCTCATATGAAAAGCAAAAATACTTCAAGAAACAAAAGAAGCCCAGCTGCCTTCATTTGAGCCATTTGAGAACCTTGAGTTTAGATGTTTAAAACTACTACAATGCAGTAAGCGGTGCTTCACTGGATGTTTGACAATACTTTCTCCTCTCTAAAGTTTGGCTAAGAAGACGCTATATAAATACATACATACAATAGCATGCAGGTTTAGAGAATGATTTATCATTTGCCTCTAAAAAAGTAGAATAAAAAGTGAAGAAATATCATTTGCAAACAAAAGAATAGATCATTTAATAGATTATTTCATTAACTTTGACCACACAGAAGAATTTCCTTCATTTAGTGTTTTATCTATAATGTGTCAGACCTTTTGAACTTTTGAGGATTTAGTAAAACATTTTTATCCTTCTCAGTAAACAGCTTATTTCAAGGTTTCATATGATTGTGGCCGATTAACAATTGAATAATTTTCGTTCTTTTTAAATTGTTGTGTATTCTTTATTGTGCCATCAAATAATTATCATTCCAGCTTTGTATGTGTCATAAAAGGCCATTCAGAGATCATATGAAGCAGCCTGAGGCCCTTATTAAAATTTGGTTAAGTTTTGCGAAACAATTTTTGGTTGACATTCAATGTGAAATCAAGTACAAAAGATTTCAAAAATGAATACAAATATGTTTAAAAGGAGAAAAGAAAAAATATGTAAGGAAAGGGGGAAATCAATGGATCCGGGGAAAGGCGGAATAAGAACAGAACAAAGAAAGGGTGGTGACAAAGGTCATACAAAAGCCAGCCTGAACAGGTGAGTTTTCAGCTGCTTTTTAAAGGAGACCACTGAGTCCACTGATCTCAGGCTCAGGGAGAGTTCCAGAGTCTGGGGGCCACAGCAGCAAATTATCTGTCACCATTGGTCTTTAGCCTGGTGTGCTGCACAACCAGTAGGCTTTGGTCACTGGACCTCAGGGACCTGGGGGCGTAGGGACTGAGAAGATCACCAGTGTATGAAGTTGCTTGTCCATGTAAGGCCCTAAAGATCAGAAGCAGGATCTTGAAATGAAGCCAAGAACAAAACTGCTGAAATTGCCTTATGTGAGAGAGATTTAGTGCAAAGAACTTCATAAATATGTTTTGTATCACCCTTTAGAACTAATATAACTTAAGGAAAAAAGATATTTGTCCCCTTTAGGTGTATTGATGGAGTTTTTGTACTTCATTGCATTCTGTCTGTTTATCGTCTTATTTTCTTATATTTACATCCAATTATATAATATGAAAATATATAATATAATATAATATAATATAACATATAATATAATATTATATTATATTATATTATATTATATTATATTATATTATATTATATTATTCTAGTAAACAAAGAGAGTACAGTAAACAAGTTGTTAATGGCGTAATCAATTGTCGAAAAATCGATGCCATATCTCCCTTTTCTGTGGCAGTTGCCATTTCAAATGAACCGCGCACCTAAAATGTTATTCCCCTAAAATCTGTAGAAGAGAGTAAATACAGATAGACATCAGATTAATCTTCAGTGGGTGTTTACATCGTCTGACAGGCTGCTGTGATGCAGCAAACCGATCGGTGGTCCCGCTGTTGTTTCTCCACCCACAACCTATAGTCGTCATCATCACCACCTTAGCGATTTCCTCTCCTGTTGTGGACACACATTAATCCTAAACAGAAGCCTCTTGTTTTTAAAGATCACGCAACGATGATTTATTAAAGATTAAATGCAGCCAACGGGTTTGTAGTCGGACTATAAGCGGGACGGACCTTGCACAATGTCAGCCAACGCTCAGGGTGAGTAGCGCTCCATTTTCCCCCACTGTGTTAAGTTAGCTGTTAGCTACATAAAGCTAACGTCGCTAGCTGCTAAACGTAGGCCGCGTTCACACGACCATCATGGTTTGACACCAGGGTGTAAACAGAGTTAAAAATAAGAAGTTAGCATATATTTTGGCTAAATTATAAACTTGAAAAAGTAAACTAATCACATTGTGTGTGTACTGAACGCTAAATACAAGCAAAGCAAAGACGCAGGCTTTAGCATGTTAGCTGCGTTAGCCCTTCTGGTGCACAAATGGGAAGAAAAACCTTTCATATTTCAATGAAAACTCAAGTCGACGTAGTTATTTGGTTAACATGTGGTGCAATTTTCATGTGTTATATTCAAAAGCTCAAATATGATGGTCTCAAAATGAAGTATTGATTAGTTCCAGGCTTTTGTTTCGGGGCTCTTACGCGGTCTTAAAAAGTGTCAATTATGTTCCAAGTCTGCAGAAGCATGGATTGTGTCTGAGGGCATGTGAAGTACTATGATTATATTATGTTAGCATGTTCTCCAGTTATTGCTCTTTGCATGGCTGTTTAGTTTGGTTAGAAATAAATGATCAAAAATTATGACAAAAAGCTCATTTATTGCAAATTGAAGTCGAAAAAAATTGATCAAACAGTTTAATTTATGCAAATTAGTTTTAAGTAATGACTTTGAGGATCTGTAGTTTAGATGGAAGTGTTGATGTATTAGCGTGTGTTTTTATTAGGTCTGGACGACATGAAAAAAATCCTTTCACCACATATGAGTTGATGTCAGTATAAATCACAATCTAAAACAAATCACTGTTTTTATCAACCTTCAATGTTCTCTTGATCTTTTAAATGAGATTTGAAGATATTAGAAACTTATTTTTGATTTTGAAGGTTTATTTTCAAAAGCTGAACTTGTCAAACATCATACCACTGTGTTGGATCAATCAAAGAGGTTTATTTTAAACTAAAATCTTCAAGCATTAAAGAAGAACAAAATGAAAATAGAGATATTTTATTTTGATGTCAAATTAATAAAACATGTTTTAAAATAAAATAATCAAAATCTTTCTGCTTGTTTTAAATATAGTTTATTTGAGAAAAAACAATGAAACTAAATGAAACATTAACTTTGTTATATATAAGTGAAAATTTAAGTAGCTTTCAAAGTGACAAATTAAAAAATAGACATCATCTATGCTTAGAAAGAAGATATTTAAATGTGAAGATATTAATTTTGTCATTGTGTGTGTGTGCATGTGTAACTTACAGACACATATAAGTATCTCCTGTCTTGCACTTTGACATTTCATATTCCATTGACTATTTCATCAGGTGTGAGATTAACTGGATTAGAAATAGTTATTCAAGAGAAAAAGTAAAATTAAATTAAAATTGCAATAATAAATAAATGAAGGATTAAGACAAACTACTAATATGTTAAACTATTAAGTTCGTATTAGGGTTGCAACGAGTACAAATGTTGCTGGTATGATTATTGTCTGAGAAATAATGATGGTTTCATGATGATTTTACATGAATTGATTTCACATCTATAATAACACACATAAATCACACACACATTCTATAAATTATTGATAAAAGGCATGATTACATTCTATAAAGGTTTTGAACCCCTGAATAAGCTATTGTTCCTTTTCTGAGATTTTCCTTAGAAAATTCACTCTTCTACAGATTTGCAATGTTGATGTTTTATCTTCACAAATAACTCAAGCCTGGAGGGCTTCTGCTGTGTGATGGAGATGCTAATGCTAACAGTTAGCTTCTACTAGTCGAGCCATTCTCTACTACCTGCTCAGTTGCCTAGTGGTATAGTGTCCGCCCTGAGACTGGGAGATCAGGGTTCGATTCCTGGTTGGGTCATACCAAAGACTTTGAAAAAATGGGACCCAATGCCTCCCTGCTTGACACTCAGCATTAAGAGGTTGGATTGGGGGGTTAAACCACCAAATGGTTCCCGAGCGCGGCTGTGTCTGCAGCTCACCGCTCCCCCAGGGGATGGGTCAAATGCGGAGAACAAATTTCGCACACACATCAGTGTGTGTGACAACTAATGGGACTTTAACTTTAACTTTACTGTTTCCTGGATGCTAAACAGACAGCAGCCTTCCCTGTCATGAGTTAAGATGGGTGAATCCATAATGTTAAGTGACGTAGATCTGTCAGGATTGTCTAATCCTAGAGTTTCACTGTCTATTTTCTATCAGAAGCTAATGCAGGAGATGGGTGTAGGAGACTATTTTCATGTTCAACCTGTATGAAAAACTCAAGAGTTATTGATTGTCAGTAATAATCATTAAAAAAAATTAAGTGAACCACACCTTTATTATATTTGCCTAAAAGCCTTTTTTGAGTTTCCGTAAAAAGACAAAAATGTTTAGTTGTTGATAACTGGTCAGGGTTAGCACTGAAGGATGGAGACACCTTAATGAATGAAAATGCTAATTCCTACTAGTGCAGTTATTGTTATGATTATTACTTATTACTTAAATGTAATTTCTACTTGTTCATGTCTTTTCAAATTTCATCATTAAGAATATTATTTGGACAATGATAAATGATTGTATTGCTATATAGAACAGGATTTACAGAGAGGTGTAATTGATTAAATATTAAGTGGCTTGCTGTAGTGGCTTGTACAGATAAAAATGTAGAACAACACATTGAACCATTGTTCACTGAATTGTTCTGATATTACTGTTAAATCCATTCAGTCACTAACGCAATCTGACTCAGTTGGAGCGAATTTGTTGGCGTGTTGGTTTCAGACATGATAAGTTGGGATGAGATGGATGAGCCATCGTTCTGAATTTCTCTTTTAGCAGCTTTGGGAGTCTTAATTATTCCCTCACAGGTGACTTGAAGCACTTTCTAGGTGGAAACGGAACAGTCCTGGTGGTTGTTTACACTGGTTCTGCTGCTTGCGTTTGTTCAGTTTCACTTTCGCTCTGGTCTGCTAATGTCTTTCTTTTATTTGCGGTGTTGGGGATGTCTTTATGGTGGGTTAACTGCAGCGTTTCACACTGTGGTTAATAGTCAAACCAGTTAATCTAGGGCTGGGCGATATATCGATATTCTTTAAATATCGGTATAATTTTTAAACAAGATATAAGATGACTTAATATCGATATAACTGGCCAAACTGCTATGCTAGCGATTAGCCGCTATGCTAGCGACATGTTGCTCTGTCTCTAAGCGGCTATTACGTGTATTCTCACAAGTTTGCTCAGTCTGAGAGCCTCTGGCTAAATGTGCTGCTCTAAACTTTGCATTTGGCCTCCTGGTTTTTAATTATTTAGGGACATTCAATGCCAACGGAGTTCTGTTTTCCATCCTGCTTGTGCGGAGAGACGAGCCAAACCCCTCCCTCCCCTGTGTAATGAGGAAACGGCTACGGAAAGCCGGAGTGGCCAAATGACCTGAAACATATTGTAAGGGTTTGAATAGTAAACTACGGGGTTTAGGGTTGTCACGGTATGAAAATTTAACCTCACGGTTATTGTGACCAAAATTATCACGGTTTTCGGTATTATCACGGTATTTTTTAAACGGTGTTGCATATGTTCAGAAAGCATTGATAGTCCTGTTCTACACAAACTGAAATAGTTCTGAAAAGGTTTAACAGTGTTTATTAAACCTAAAATAACACAAAGCCTTAGCAAAAGTGCAACTTTTCACAAGTAAAGGAACAAATAGCTTCTTTTTCTGGAACATGTTACAATAGTCAGTGCAGGTTTAAATTATACAAATCCAAACATTCGAAACATAAACAATATGTAAACAAATCAAAGAAACACCACTTGTTTTCTCATATACTTGTTTTCTTCATTATCAAAATGAAAATCTAAAACTCCAGTCCACACTTGACTTGAGCACTGTACAAGTCAACCTTAAAAAATATGTATTTAAAATAAATAGCCACTTTAAACAAATTACTAAAATAACTACTACACTATGTAATCAAATCCAAATGTTCAAGTATAAATGGCATTGAATAAGTAAACAAATCAATGACAAGGAACTAATTGTATATTTCTCTTCATCATCAACAAATAAGATGCTTCATACAGCAACAGGGTGTCCGTGACACGGTTTAAATGCTGGCAGAGGACGCTGCGGCTGCAGTATATAGTGACTCGTTGTATTCTCCCTCAGCCAAAAGTCCTCACGTCATGCATTTAAGCTAAAATGCTAATGTTAACTTACCTTGCACTGGCTGTAGAGACGTGGGTGATGGTCACGCAGATGTGCCATGAGATTCGAAGTGTTGCTGCCTTTTGCAGACACTTGTTTCCTGCACGTTCTGCAAACGGGATAGCAGTCTTCTATTAACTGTCCTTCAGCATTTTTCAGAAATCCAAAATATGCCCATACTTCAGATTTAGTCTTCTTTGAGGGCTGATGGATGTCCTGGGCGCTGCCGTCTCCTCCTTCGGCCATTATTTCAGCTTCAAAGTTTTGGTGCCGTTGCAAACTAAAAAGTGCGTGTGCGCGCTGCGGGAACTTCAGCTGAAGCGACGGTGGCTGGTAAGGGTCACCGCGCCAAAACCGCGGCCACGGTAAACCCACCGAGATAATATAGTTTTTTAAAAACTGTACGGTTATTTTTATTGTCAACCTTTTTACCGGGGTTTACCGCTATACCGGTTACCGTGACAACCCTAACGGGGTTACCGTTTTATTTTGAAGGCGAACTCAACGGGTGAGAAATGTTGTTCCGGTTCCGTTTTTTTCTGCTCTGGTTTGCTATGCTAGTAAATACTCCGTTACGAGTGATTCTGATGAAAAAGTTGAGTTTGTAAGGTGTGGGTTATGGCGACAGTAGCCCGAAAATAACACTCATAAAAGAGCAACCAGAGACTCTGAATCATTACAGTATAATCGCTGATATGAGCCAACACTGCTAACTAATAACTAACAACTAGTTAATAACTAGTTTTTCTAATAACTCCATGGTGCATGACCCATGTGAT